TTGGAATGAATTGGTCACAAATATTGGGCTATTTGGCATATATTTCATCATTTGTCCGCTTGCAGTTAAATATTGACAGTGTCTCTTTTTAGAATTTTACAATATATTGGTTTCGCAGCTTCAGTTAGAACTTTATATGACATAAATTGCGATAGCTAAGTTCGGTAAACCCAGCTGAAAGTAATTGCCATAAACAAAAGATGACCTAAATCAAAGATATTTTGGGATCTCTGAAGTTTTAAATATATTCGAAATTGATTGCCTATGTTATTTATTTTATTTTGTTCTTATTTTCATCATTATTTATTTTTTTTTGCTTTATTATTTTCTTATTTTCATTTGTGTCTGTCAATGACCTATCGTGTCTTACGTTTTTATTCCAGTTAAATTTGCTTTTCTCACCCAAATAATTGGCAAGGCAGTTAATTAGGAATTGCTAGTTTTCGTTGTTTGATTATAGCAATCGTAAAAAAGATACAAAGCATAACCAATGTCGGAATTCAAAAAGAGGTTCCCCGGAAAGTCCTGCGATTTAATTACAGTTTGAGAGCCACCGCAGTCACCGCTTTGCTTCATAAATGCAAATTTCTTGCACTATTAACAAGAATTTACTCCCGACGCAAGCTGCAAATAATGCAGGTCCTGCTCGTTTTTGCTCTTTTTTGGTCCTGGAACTTGGTCCTGCGGCAGGCTGGCCGTGTCCTTGGGTAGGCAGGTGGCGCAAGTCGAGTTGCCGCGTTGGCCAGCAGGTGGCGGCTGTGCCTTTTACTCGGTTTTAATAACGCTCACCTTGATGATGTTAATAATGTTGACTGCGATTACCATTTACGGGGCTTGTTGTTGCCACTGATGGTCCTGCTGGTTCTGTTGCCATGGCTGCAACTTCAGGAGCTGCAACACCAGGACCTACCGCATTGTTAATGGAGATGTAGCTGCTGTTGAGGCCCGCGGTGGCGCAAAGTGTTGCAAGTAATTGCAATTTGTTGCAATTTTCCCCCAACAGCAGCGGCAATCTAACTTGGATTCTCATTAGATTGGTCGGGATGCAAATCCTGGCAATTGCTTTTGTCCCCCTCCCCCTTGTCATCGCCAAAACTGACTCTGAATTGAAGTCCTGTGAATCGAAGACAGAGGAGCGACCCCACAGAAGCGATGCAATAACGAGTGGCAAATTCAATTAGTTAATCCCCAAATGGGACAGTTCTCCGCTGGCACCAAGATCCGGCGATAAGGAGGGGCACGTAGCCACTGCAGGATAACTTGGCATGTGGCATGCGTCGTCGCCATGCTCCATGCTCCATTAGGACGAAACTGTCGCTCCGACTATTGTTATATCGTATTTGAACAAACGCTGCCAACTGCAGCGCCCGAAATCGTTATAAAACATTCGCCTTGCGACTTCGACAGCTCGACAGGAGTACTCCTTGCCATGCAAATGCCAGGCACGTTGCTGACAGGGGGCGTGGCAAGCTCCGAGTCGGAGCCAAAAAGGATGCGCCGCCGAAAGGTGCCACGGACGTTCGATTGATGGTGGCAGCTTCCAGCTTCGAGGTGGAGTCGAGTCGAGTTGCCGGCGCTGGAGCGGATGTGCTGCGACAATATGCTGAAGCAGCGCTAATTTTTTTCGTTTTTATTTTTTTTTCTGGCAGCTTACGTGCGGCCACGCCCACCGAAGAAAACCGAGGAGGCGATTTAAGTAGGGCACCGAGAAAAATAAGTAGAAACTTGCATTTGCTGCCTTTGAACATTGACAAAGAACTCCAACAAAATGTAATTACCATATTTTTATGTTAACCCTTAATGGTTTAATCGGATATTTATAGAATTTTTTGTATTTATTAAAGGCTTCATACATACAAATTATATTTTTTAATATGCCAAAACCGCAGAGAACAGTTTTTGCAGGTTTAATTTTTTACCCTTCATAGTTCCCAGCCATTTGAATTTTTTCTATAAAGTCAGATCTCCATAAAAACTTTACTATATAGTGACTTTAAGTTTAATAGGGAGCCAATGATTAAGTGGTTTTTAAAGGATATAGGAATAAATGTGGTAAGCAATACTGCTGACATGAAAAGGTCTGTCTTGCTAGCAAATCCCTTTGATATAAAAATTCTGTAAAAGCAAAGTGAACAGTGATACGTCTTAGATTTTTCCTCTGTGCATATGACCATAAAGCCTTGCCAAACTGAAGGCGTGTGTGTGTGTGAGCGGAAATAATAATCGTCAAATTAATACGCGTCGGGAATTTCGCCAGGCTCCAAAACGCTGCTTGGCAACCCTGGAGGCCTCCAAATCCCAAATACGTGAGAGCATTTAAAGCAAAAACAAATAAAACTTAAGTGCTGCATGTGTGAAATGGGTGGTCCTAGGAGCCCGGGAGATGGTTCTGGGATTCCGACGCACTCAGGTGTCCCGTCGGCCTCTGGTTAATCCGATCCCCGGCTGCTTAATCAGCCCCGTTCCTGTCCCGTCCGAGATAACTGCCTGAAACGAATCTTGGCAGGACACAGGCAGACATACATACATCACTCGAGTTGACTTGAGTCGACTCTTGGCCAGAAAAGCGGTCGGGGCCATCAAATTTCAGTCATAACAATAACACTGATAGTCCCCCGCTCGTAAAATAAGACCCGAGCAACCCTTTCCCGAGGAAGCTGGCCGGGATTTGCTGCTGCTGCTGCTGGTGTCCTCATGTGTCTCGCTATCCCCATCCCTGGACCCATTCCGTTTCCCTTTTCCCTGAACCTTTTCCTCATCCCTTGGCCGGGGTGTTTGTTGTTTTTAGACCCAGCTTGGAAAACAATCAAGGGAACGCGACACTAAAAACCACGCACGTTCTGGCCCTCAAACTCGAGCGGGGAGACACAGAAATTCGACAATGGCACTTGACGTTGTTCTGGGGCGGAGTTGGGTGATTCCCAGGCATAAGGGGGCTGGGCAGGTCAAAAGGCGACGCCTGAAGCATTTAAATCCTTTTCGCACTTTCGGCTGTCACTGACTGCCGCGCCAGCAACTGCTTCTGCTCCTTCTCCTGCTCCTGCTCCTGCTCCTCGTTCCAGCTTGTTGCGTGCGAGGCTCCTCTCCGCCATTTCGACTATTTCCGGGGACCACACTGCGTATGACGTATGGAATGAAGAGGATTGTGGCGGCAATGGCGACGGCTTCGGCAGCGGATGGGGCGTCACGCTTAATTTTTGGCCTCGTCTTTTTTTAGGGGCGCATAAGGCCGTAAAATAGGAATTTGCTTTATTAAAATTTTTCGCTCGAAAAATATGAGAGACAACGGCACAGCGATGGAAACGGCGTGCGCGCTTAGCCCGGCAAATGTTTGTCGAAAGTTCTAAAACCCAAGGGCCCAAGGACTCCTTCCCCATCTTCGCCTCCAGAACGAGGTAAAAATTTACTCAACTATGAACTTAACCCAGGCCCAAAACCAAACGCATGTGTGTGAGCTGTGTGGGCTGGGGGAAATAGGCAAAAATTTGCGACAGGCCGAAGGTTATGTTGATCCTTGTCTGTTCCCTGTTCCTGGCAGGCCTCCCAGCGTAGCCTGGCATCCTGGCAAGGGTTCTAGCTCTCGTTCTCGTTCTCGTTCTCGTCTCTGTGCCTGACAGATGCCACGGAGCCCCATACACCCGCTCTCCCTCTAGTAAGAACGAAATTTATATAAATTGCCCGTAATGCTGCTGGCTGTTCGACAGCGGGGTCCGGGGACCAGGGTCGGGGCAAATTGTTGTTGATTTTCCGCCTGTTCCTTCCACATTCTTTTGCCGAAACAAATTATGTACGAAAAAGGCAAAATAATGAAATCGTAAAGAGTTTGGCAACGAATGAGCTCCTAACCCGGCGCAGCTCTGTGATATTTTTCTTATTTAAAATTCATTCCTGTCCTCGCCACCCACTTTAACCCATCTTCAGCCTGCCAGGAGTCCCTCCCCCCGCTCAGACATGATGCGTATGCAAATTGTTGGCCATATTAATCATTGCCAGTTGGTAGCGCCAGAGCTAAGTTTCATTTTATTCCCATTTCTCCTTGGAAAGCGGGAGGAGAAGCGAACTGGCCAGATTTAAAACTGCATTTCGCTGCTTATAAATAAACAGAGCCCGGGAGGAGCGCAAGAAATAGTCTCTGCTGGGAAATTTATGAAAGCGCGAATAAAATGCTCGTTTCACCGGGAATCGGGGGGAGGTGGGAAAAACTGCGAAACTGAGAGACCCGGCAAAGCTTAACTGTTTTTGGAGGGGACACCAAAAACAAGTGGAGCTGCCTCGCCTGACGACTACGACGGCGACCGTCGCGTTAAATGCTTTTGTTGATTTTAGATGCGCGACTGCCCCGGGAAAAGCCACCACCTCCTGCCTGCCCCGGCCCCGGCCCCTCGCAATTTCCCTTTGCTTTTCGCGGCATTTAATAGTTTCGGCGCAAGAAATGAACTCTCCACAACTGCAGCAGTCTGCAATGTGTCTTGGCAAACAGACCAGGACCAGGACAGGGAACTCAGGACAGGGGACTTCGGACACGGATGCGGACCACACCCACAATTGGCTTTTGTGGCGCGGCCAACGCGCTTTTTCGTTTCTGGGCCCCCGGAAAATGTGTTTGTTTTTCATTAAAAAGAGACCAGCACCAGAACTTGGTTCTGGCCAAGCGGAGTTCCTTTTTTAGACCGTCTGCTCTGCCACTGCTGAAACTGGTCAAAGTTCGGCCCTCGGCAAAGAGCGGACTTTGCGGAATGTCATGTTTTATTGCGGTCGCCTCGCGCTTTCACTGCCCTCGGGGGGCATTGGGGATCGCGCGCTCTCTCGGACTTTGAGTAAACACATATTTCATAATTCATCATGCGGCTCGGCGATAGAAAGTCACGTTTTTAATAGAGGACCCAACTTGGGACTTAGGGACTCACAGACACACAGAGCGGAGACAACAAATGGCCGCGGGCACAATTAATTAAGTGCATCGCTAATGAATCACTCTTCCCCTCCTTGTTTCCTTTCAGTTGTCATCGTTTTGGTGCTGGTGGCCAGTCCCTCGCCCTGCCACGCCCAGCAGCAGAAGTTCCGGACCACGCCGCACGACCTGCAGGTCCTCGAAGGAGCCGAGGCCATGATGCGCTGCGAGGTGGCCAACGTGGCCGGAGCGGTCCAGTGGACCAAGGATGGCTTTGCCCTGGGCTTCTCGGCGGTGATACCCGGCTATCCCCGCTACTCGGTGCTGGGAGATCGGAAGCAGGGCGTCTACAATCTGCGCATCTCGAATGCCTCGATCACGGACGATGCCGACTACCAGTGCCAGGTGGGACCTGCGCGGCTCAACAGCGCCATCCGAGCCACCGCCAAGCTGACCGTCATATGTGAGTACCCTTAACTAAGATCTTCCTTGACTGTGGACTGAGAAAGTCCGTCGAACACTGTTGCGAGTCCTTTTAGAATTAAGTGAAACTACAGAACACTCATTTCCCTCATCAAGGACAAGCTGGTTTAGTTCTTTCGAGCGCTGAAGTGTAAACATATCAGGGAATCGTAACACTGAGAAGTCCTTGAATAAAGTTCTTACACGCTCCCTGGTCTCACTCTCGCCCCCAACTGGGTCTTACCCCTCTTTTCCCGGGCTTTTCTCCCTTTTCTCGGGGGCTGCAATTAATTTAAGTAATAAATACAAATGAATTTGTCACCAGGGGCGCCACACACACGCACACCCGCACACACACTGGTACAGTGGCACACATTCCGGCTGCTTCCTGCTCATTGCACCTATGGAATCCTCAGTAGTGAAATTTAAATGCGGGTCCCCATCCACATCAGCCGTCTCTGTCGCTGCGAACATTTATTGTCAGCAATTTGCAAAACAACAACCCAGGACGGGGACGAGGACGAGACCGAGAATGAGAACAACAAACCCAGAAGCTACAACATCACAGAGCCGGGCTGAATTTAGCGCAGTTTATTGCTCCAAGGCAAGGAGGACGAGCAGGTTCTGTGGGGGTGGAGCGAACGGATCTCCATTGCAGGCAAAGCGATGTGAAATGAATTCCTTTTTGTCTTTTTGTCTTCGCATCTCTCGTTTTGGGCCGTGCCGTCCTGTTCTGTTGCATTGTCGTCTAGTAATCACTCTGCTGGCTGCGACGATGTTGCTGTAATTGTAATCACTCAAGGAATTGCGCTACATTTGATGACAGCGATTTTCATTTGGCGCGCTTCGTTTGCTCCTGCGTCGCCGTTTGCCACTCGTTCAATTGCAAGGAATTTTTCTGGAGACTTCAAGGGGCTCCTTGGCTACCGCTCACCCGTACATAGAACATATCCATGGACCAAGGACCAAGGACCAGGAGCCTCCTTCCCCAAAGCACTTGCACACGCATAACACACACGCGCGCATGCCTAATGACGTTTGTTTAGTTAATTACGCGCCATGAGCTGTGACAATGGCGATGTGTGTGTGTTCGAGGCCTCGGGGCAAAGAAAAAAACAACAGTCCTCTAAGAAGGAAAGATAGGACTAAAGTCTACGACTATGAGATACCCGGTCCTTGGGGTTCTTGTATAAAACAAGTTGTTTACTTCATTCGTTAGCATATCTAGCTGCAAGTTAAGGTCATTTGTAATAACTAATTTAATTTTTAGTTTTGTGTATTTACACTTTCCATTAATAATCCGTTTTAATATTTATTTTTTAATTAGCCTAGATCGATAATTTATAGTTTCCTATAAATTATACCAGAGTTCCTAGTGCCTTAAGATGAATTACAAAATGCAATAGTTGAATTGTGGTTTTCTATAGGAACTTTTGAAATTTTGGAGGAATTATAAAATCTCCAAAGCTTCTCGACTCTAATACACCCCTTCTCCTTCAAGGGTATCATGTGTAAAAATAAAATAAAGTGCGATGAAGGAAAAAACCAACGAATACAGGGCCTAGGACTGCTGCAGGAGTTGGATGCTCGGCCAGGCTTGTTAGTGCCTCGGAGTTGATGCTGGCGCGACGAAAGGTCGGATGGCATGTTTGTCATAATTGTGGATACTTGTGCGATTCCTGCCACACCCAGCAACACTCCGCAGCACCCCACTGTCCCACCCCCCCCCTGACTGCCAGCCTCCCCACCTTTGTTTTGTAATGGAATCTTCGTCTCGGTTTTCTCCGTTTCCTCACAGCAAATGACATGTGTCTGTCCTCCGGTCGAAGGTATTTGGGGATATGGGCTGAAGGAGCGAAAAGCAAGAGGGGCAGAGGGTGTGGGGGGTTGTGCCTGTGTGGGAGTGTGGCACGTGCGACATTATTGCTGCAATTAGCCAAAAGGGAAATGTGGACAAATGCGTAATAATTCAATTAAGTTCGAATTACATTTATTTGATTTATTCCCCATAGGGTCGGAATTTTCCGCCATTTATATCCCATTTCATTGAACAGATAATGTAGTGGGAAAAGTAAGAAAGTAATAATAATTAATATCAGTATTTACAAGTGAAAACGAATAAGTTAACTTCAAGACTAAATAAATACTATTGTAGGAACATAGTACACATTGTATATAGTCTTATGATGTAGCATAAGTGTAAACAATCAATTATGAAATAGGTAGACACATATATCGATAGTTAAGCTAGGGAGATCGATAGAATAAGATCGGAGATCTGCGATCACTACTTCTGGTCAGCGTTGGCGTACAATAAGTTTTGAAAATTCTCGTGTGTGAAAATAAAGATAAGTTTAGTACTTAGTAGTAGTACTTATAAAGTACTTAGTACTTATAACAGGCCTATACTATATTTATATTAAATATTCTACCTAGTAAGTTAATAAAGTTAATACTAGATATTAGGGAGAAAGGCTTCCTTAATATATTCATAGCTTGCTTAGGCACTACTTATTCAGCTCATTATTAATTTATATATGATTCCATCTGCCCCATCTTTGGCATATCTCTGATTGCAATCGCCGCCTGAGAGATACGATTTAATTAAAACTTTCGACAGAAGGTCTATTTAAAAATTAATACCACTCACCTTTAGTTCGGGTCAAATTAAATTTTTCAGACTGGGCTACAAAGTTTTTGCAGCCACCAATTCGGCCTCGCTGCCCGTGCTTATGTTAAAGTTCCAAAAATATGTATGCCACATACCTGCTCCCACATAGTATATATATAGTACATATAGTACATAACGAATATGGGCAAAAATAAACGTGAGGGCGCAATTAGATTATAAGTTTGGCAAAGCAAAGAACTTTTGCACACAAAAGTCCACGTGCAAATTTATGGAAATTCCCAGAAATTGTTCGCATGCCATTAATTTTGAACAAAAAAAAAAAAAGCTATAGTAAAGGCAGCCAGGAACACATATGCCGCAAGGCAACTGCAAGGTCCGTGTCCATGTCGGAGTCCGAGTCCAAGAGGCAAAACTTTTCACCGGTGGCTGGACATAATGGAATGGGAATAGCCAGGAGAATGGCGAGCACTTGCTGCAGCTACCTCCGAACGTTTATAAATTTTTGAATACAATGCTGCTCGAATTTAAGTTGGACCTGCTCTGCTTTCCGGCCAATAGACGCACTTCATTGATTCTCGAATGTCCGCACATTTTTCAAAAACACACTGACTCTCCGGCACCCGGCCACTCTCTCACTCGCCCTTTGCCTTTGTAATTGAAGTGCAAATGAGGAAAGTTTTCGTCTGCCGGGGCTTTCTCCGGAAAATATAGCCCGACATTTGTTATGTGAGGCTGACCTTAAAGTCACTGCCACTGCCACTAGCGCCTTGGGTCGCACTTCGGCTGTGACTAGTGGCTCTGCTCCTGACGGCTCAACTTACATCACCAGCCAGCGACTCGACTCTCTCGACTCCAAGCCCAAAAAAATGGCCAATTCCTGGCTTCGCCTTGGATTGGTGGAGGCGTTGGCGAGGAAGGGCTGCGAAAGTATTCCGGCGCATAAAACTTTTATGAGGCGTACTATTAGTGGGTTAGCCGGGGTGTCGTGCCCCCGGGGGGCGACTGCCGAAGGTCTGAGGGAGAGAAGTGCGAGTCCGAGTCCAGTGTTCCAGTGTTCATGGCAAATTGCACTTTGTGTACTCGCTTGCCAGGATTCCAGCTAGCTCCTCGCAGGCAACTGGAGATGGCGCTGCGCTGCTGCCAGGACCGTTATTGCAGCCATTGTTGCATAAATTATTTGATGCCAGCCAGCAGAGCACTCAAAGAAGCGGCGACTGCACCACTTCGGGCGCCCACAAAGCCACCCCTACTCTGGCATCCACTGTCATGCGGGGCGCGGCTTGTGCATAAAATTTAATCAACATTTAACCTTAACCAAGCCGCCGGCTATGGCCGAATTTTGCACCTGACAGGGCAGGGAACTAAACTAGGCTATGTCTAGATATAGTAAATATAATGGAATAAACTAAGGACTACTAGAAAGTTTATGCAATCTAGATCTGTACGCGAATACGGAGAATTGCTTTTAAATACTTTTAAAGTGCCAGCAGATGGCATTAGATTCTTGGTTGATATGCACCTTGTTATTAAGGTGTCCCTGTTCAAATAAAAACTGCCTCTTTGCGGCTATTTTTATTTCCAAACGTTCGCTTTGATAGATTTTAAATTACTCTTTATCGATTTTATGCTTGCTGCATTTACACCGCCTTATTGGCTCTCACGCAGCCCTTGTTGTAGCGCCTTTCGATGGCCTAAGCCCTCCTTCAATCATTCCTTGGAAGGCGGCTTCAGTTCTTCCCCACACGCTCCTCCTCGTTTGTCAATAATCAAATACAATATGCATACCAATCAACAATGCACATACCCAACGTTCCAGCCCACACACAAACTCGCAGTGCGGATATAGACATATATACAGTGGATATATAGACGCAGGATGGCAGGCCACGCTTTGGCATAAATCGAGTTGCATTTGCCGGGACTTGGCCCAGGAAAAAATCATAAAATGTGCATATATTTCGCATTTTAAATATGCAGCACGCGCCATGTCTCTGGTTACCCCGCACCATCCCCGCCTCAGAGCCACGGTGGCACGGTGTTCCAAATATTATGAATTTTCAATGCACGTAACGCCCCCGAAAGCCCACGGAACCGTCAGCCGTATAGCCGGCGGTGCTACGGCGACACCAATTTCGGCACACAAAGCCTTTAGTCAAGGTTGCTGCTATGCTGGTTCTGGCTGCTGCTGGTGCTGCTGCTGCTGGGTGCTGGATGATCTAGGTTTGCTATTGGCATTTCCTCAGGCAGAAGGACTTTTCCTCGGCCGGGGCATAACAAGCTTCCCATTCCATAGCAATGGCTCCCTGAGCCGGAGCCTTATCCCCGGCTCGAGGCCGTGTGAAAAATAAATCGAAAAATTGCCAGGAGAGAGACGCATTCTTTTTGCTGCTACCAAAAGAGGTGGCAAGTTAATTAAAGGACAAAGCTAGAAAAGGACACTCTCCTCACAGAGCTCTGGTTGACAACTCTGACAGCAATTATGTCCCTCAGAAGCACTATTAAGTTAATTAATTATTATGCATTGCACTTGGAACTTGACTTTGCTTGGGCTTAATTTAAGTTTAATATGAAGTTGAATCGTGAAGAATCCCTTAATGGAAATTAAGGAAAGTTATAAAGTTCGTATCTTGGAACGTCTTCTATGGGACTTTTTAAAGTGCATGATTTAAAAAACCATTCATCACCAAGTAAAATAAATATTATAAAAGCTTTTTCAATATTAATTTAAGTTCAAAATAATGATAGTGCGCTGGTATATTATTAAATTAAATCAGCGCATAAACGGGTTTATTACAATTATAATTATGCATTAGCTCTTGTTTCCAAAACAGACTAAAATTCCACAGATGAAAGAATCCCCACACATATTTAAAGCAAAGGTCTGGGATTATTTTTAACAGAAATCCGATGAAAACACACCTGAAATAAAATTATTCGAATTAATATAAAGTACACGCTAAATCTAAAAGCCTAAACACAAACCTAAAGCTTCTCGCTGAAGGTCAAAAAGTATCCTGATAGGGGAAAATATGATGGGGAGCTGCTGCTGATTATGGAATTTCATTTATTTATTTGATTTGTGCATAATAATTCGCGCAGCCTGCGGCGGTGCTAAACTAAACACAATCAGGAGAAGGGACACCGACGCGACGGTGTTGATTTCATTTGTGTGGCAACAAAACCAATTACCTCTACACGGTGCGGAGTATACAGTACGCAGGACGCAGAAGGCAGGAGGCGGGATCCAGGACCAGACATTGCTCCCCCATGCTCAATTTTTATACCCACAAGGCACCCAGGGACTCCTTGCGCGACATTAAGCATTCATTTTGCATGCAACAACTTCTGGAGGAGTTTGCGGAGCAGACGGCAACATATGTTGCATGTCAAATGCAGGACTCCCTAACACAATCCCGCCCAAGGAGTTGGATTTCCAGCAAGACGTAGGCTCCCGCTCCTGCTTAGTGCGCTGGCAATGGCAGCCAAACTCCTTCAGGTGGCATTAAAATAATGCACACGTGCACTTAACTTTATCCACGTTCCTTGTTGTTTGTTTCGCTGCACGCCCCCCGCTTGGCTGCCCTCGTTTTGTGTGTTTCTGCAACTGCTGCATTCATATGACCCCCTCAGCCACCCACGGTGTCCCTGCCACCACCCACTCGGCAGCACTCGGCACCACCCAGCATCGCCGGGCGTCACTCAGCCATTGTTTCGCCGTGGCTCGTGTATATTTCAACAGTTTGCCAGCCAAGTCGGCTCGGGTGCTCTCCACATGCCCATTCCCCTCCCACACATTCGTCCTCTTCGGCGCAAATATTGAAACTCATATTTGAGCACATTAACGAGGCAACTGCCACATGGAGAAAAAAAAAGGGCTGCTTTTCTTTATTTAACTTGTAGTCCTGGTATTAAGAATCTTTTAAAGAGAACAATGAAGACGTATTATTGAAGGCTACATTGGGTTCCTTAGTAAATTAGTTCTTAGAGTTAAGCTCACCTCTTTTGTATGATATTTCCTTCAAAAATTATCTTTAAGCTTGAGTATAATTATGTTTATTAAAATGATGTTGCAAATAACCAAGTGTCTGTGCCTGAAAATAACTAAAATACTTTGAATGTCTTGCCAATATTGGTAGGATATTTTCTCTGGGTGCAGCTGTAGATGGAGAGCGACAAAGTCGGTGGTTAACAAGGATGGAATGCCGCGTTCTTGGCGCATTCCTACCCAGCTGCAGCTGCAGCTCCATCTCTTGCTCCACCTCCTCTTACATCCCCTGTTGCAGCTGCTGTTTCTGTTCCTGTTCGGCCATTCAACCTGGGCCTTCAACAACAATGTCGTCGGTCGTCTGCCGTTGCATACACAGCGTGCATTAGGCAGTGCCACGCCCACCGGCAACCAAACAGAACAGAACGCCCACAAATGCGCTGTAATGCCATTGTGGCCCATAATGAGCAAAGCTTCCCTGTCAGCCATTAGCTTTTGTTTCGGCCTCGGAATGCCTTCCACCCTACTCGTCCCGTCCCTACTCATTGCGAACATCCTGTGTGCGTCCTCTAATATCCCCCACTTTATTCTCCTTTACAGCTCCGCCAGCCTCGATCGAGATCAAAGGTTACAGCCACAATTCCAAGGTGGAAGTGCGCGAGAACCAGGACCTGCAGCTCAAGTGCATTGTGGCCAATGCCAAGCCGGCGGCCCAAATTGTCTGGTATCGCGGCAACGTGGAGTACAAGCCAGGTTAGTAGCTGTAGCCAACTAAGTCATTACGTTTAATGTCCGTCCGAGAAGCATCTGTGGGAAACAGAGTCGTGATGGCTGCTATCACGCACCTGTCAGCGAATGCGAATAAACCGCCTAAAGCGGGATGAGTGTGGGCCGAGATTATGCTCCTTTCGGGTGGACATTTCTGCTTCAAGGTGGAATTCTGGAAGGAGCTGAAGATTAAAGCCAGAATTACCAGTAAATAGAACTTTTAAAGGAATCAAGCGTCACTGTATTCATCCAACTAGAAATAAAATAAATAATATTAATAAAATTGCATAATAATATTTAATAAGAAAGCTAACTGCGCTGCTCAGCTATATTAAATGGCCTAAAACAACGTCGTAGGCCAAACACGAACATAACAATATACATTTTCTGTTGGAGGGCATTATGCAGAATACAAAAAGTGTAAATGGGTTTTGGCCCGGGCTCCTTTTCGCTGGGATAAGTGCGGATAAGGATGGTTATGGGGATACGGATGCGGATGAGCCGAGGCCCATGAAGAACTCGAACTGGAACGGGCGAAGGGAGATGGGCAAAGTGACGCCTGTCAACCGTTTGGCCATCGCACATGTGATATGATAGGAGCGGGGACGAGGACAGGCATGAGGTCTCGGGCAGGATGGGATGACAGGGAAATGGACGTCGACTTTCGGCTTGATGACGGTGCTTAAATAATAATTTTATACTCCAACAAAGCGCCGACTGTCGATGTTCGGCCCTTATCTGCTCTGCGGTTCGCTGTCCTGTCCAGGATCCTGTTAGGACCCCGTGTTTGTGCCTTGTCATTTAGCCGCTTTCGCTGCTCCTGCCGCTGGCGGGCAGTCAGCAAATTGGAAAACAGAGCTCTGCTGCTGCTGGAAAATATGGAAAAATGCAAATGTCAATGGGTAGAAAAAAAGGGAACGGCGTTTAGCCGCCTTCACGACTTTTAATTTTCATAATGATTATGGCCCCCCACACACCACCAGCGTGCATGTGGGTGTCCTGAGTCCTGCCGTTGCCCCTTTCCGGGTGGAGCTCGACCCTGCTCCCCACTCCCCGTCCCACCCGCCTGTCATTTGGCGAGTAACGAAATCATTTTAGCACAACTGGCGCGTTAAAAATGCTTAAAATGTGAATCGCACGGAGACGGCGACGGCGACGGCAACTTCCACGATGATGGAAATTTTTCGGGTAAACATACATATATAAAAAACAAAAAACGAAAACACCGAAAAAACACGGGACCGACAGAGGGGTTTGAGCAGCGGAAGATTCGCCAAAACGGCGTTAAAATGTAGGAAAATCCGCAAGGAAATGTGGACAGCGGAAGGAAGCTGCATGATGAATTATGTTTATGACGCAATATGTTGCGGCAGGGACTCTGGCCGGACCCAGAGCCTTCCCCGGAATCCGGAGTCCGGGCTTTACGACAATGGCCAGTTTCGGTCGGGTCTTGTATCATTTGCAAGCTGTCAGGGGCGTGTGTGCCCCGTCGGTGTGTATGTAAGAGTGTGTGGGGACGCGTAAATGGCGGTTAATGTGGGCAGACGGCCATCTTGGTGATTACCCGGGGAATGGTGATAGTTGGGTGGCTGTGGGGCAAGCTGAGGCCGAGTCAGAGGCTGCAGAGGCACATTTTTTAGGCGCAGATGAGGCTCGTTCAAAATTTATAACTGAAAATGATGTCACAAAATGGTCTTGCTGGTGCTGGATTGATGGGAGTTGGGTCGAGAGTTATCCCTAGGCATTAAGGATCAAGCGATTGAGAGGGCCCAAAGCTTGTCACGTCTAGAGTAGCAATTAAAATCTTAAAAGGGCCACACTTTTTATTCTTGTGTTGAAAGGAATCACTTAAGTATACGTTAGAAATATGCTTGATATCCTTCAGAAAGAACTCTTTCTCTTTAGCTCAAAATATATATCCTTCTTGGCTTTACTTCCTCTTAAAATATTAATTAACATTTTCCCTTTCCCTTGCTTGCAGAGAAACGCGAGGATCAAGTGGAGGAATCAACGGCCAAGCGGTTTACCACCACCTCGAGTCTTAAGCTGAAGCCTGGACCCGACGACGACTACACGGAGTACACGTGCCAGGCCAAGCACAAGGCACTGTCGCCGGACATGCCCATGCGGGCCACCGTTCAACTGTCCGTGTTGTGTGAGTAGCTTTTGAGTCTTTCCAGCCGCCGCCGTAGCCATCTGTTTGCCGTCCATGTCCAACTCCGTCCTCCATCCACTGTCCAATGTGCTGCGGAAGCCGAGACTTCCAGCTCCTGGTGGGCCACGTGGGTGACCTCATTAGCCGGCTCAATTTGCGATACAATTGAACGTGCGTGCTTGCATGGGTGTGGGTGTGGGTGTAATCGTGAGCGGGGGAAGTCCCCAATGAACGACAGGCGGCGGCATTTGGTATTTGGTGCACTGAGCGAAACTAGAAAGTATTAATTTAACGACTTAGTTTACAAGGGATTCTTTTGATGGTTTGTTTTTAATTAAATTTTTCCTCAAAAGCTTTTCTTTTAATTACCAAAGTTTGATGTAATTTTAGCTATATATTTCTTCACTTATTCTCCACTATCAATCGTGTCAAATCTTTAGTTTTTCGCTCAGTGCAAGGCATGAATTTTTTGCGCCAGTCTCTATCGGCCTGACCCGATGCGGATGCCATTTGCCATCACGGCCGCTAATTGCGCGATTGGGGCGCGTATTAATTAGTTTTTAAATTCTAATGTGCCGCACAGCTGCCACTGCCACTGCGAATGCGGACGCGGATGTGGATCCGAATGGGAATCGTAATTGTGATGCTGCAGGGGAGTGCGAGCGAGCCATTGCGAATGCCAAAAGTTCTCTTATTGATTGTTTGCCGGTGGCAAAGTGGTGGCGGTGCCGACGGTGGCCTCCGGCATAGGGAGGTTGATGCCAAGCAAGCACCTGCCCTCCAGTGGCTCCACCTGCACGCACATTCAAATTAATTATGTTTGTTATTTATGCATAGGCAGCTGGCAAATGGTGGCCCCAACTGCCACAGTTCGTTGGCCATTTCGAGTGCTCCTCGTCGCGATGTAATTGTCGCAAAAAAAAAAAAAAAGAAAATACACACGGAAATATGCACGAAAAATCGAGTCGTGCTATCTGCAAATGGCAAATGGCAACGATATTTTCCCCTTTTCATTTGCCCTTCCTGCGGGGGCTTAATTATGACGCTATTATTGCATCCTCGCCCCGACTCGCTCATCGCGGCCCAGCAATATTTCAATGATTTTAATTTAATTTTTCGTTGCATGCCTGCAGGGGCTGGACTCTGTGTGAGGTGTGCGTGCCGGGCTGGATTCGATTGTGTGTGTGCTTGGCAGCTTTTATGCTTCACCTGATTGCTGCTGTTGATTCAACACGGTTGACCGCTTGTCAAATTCTGATAAAGAAAAGCGCATTACAGCTAGTACGCTTCAGCGAAACGGTTATGGGACTGGGCATCCATCAAAGACGGATGAGCGCTTTAATGTGCCCATATCCCCCGGTTGACCTTTCTAGTAAATAACAATTTCCAAATGTATTTAACGCGCTCCAGCTGTCTGTTTTCCGCTGTTGTTATCCCTTTTGCGTTGCGGTATTTTACACTATTATTAATCGCCCAGGGGCTGCGCCCACAACAAGTGAAATTACCACGCCCCCTCCGAAATCGGAAAATAATGCATATGACCGCATAAACGATTTGCATGCAAACACTTCAATTAAAAACAGCACAGCATCCAGTTGCAGGCCGCACACTACTTTAGTGTGAATTGAATTTATTTGCGGACAACCGTTGCCATTAAATATGCGAAATGTAAACACACGGCCAGCATGCAGTAATCAATGGAGTTTTCCCCCCTTCTAATCCCGCAGATCCGCCGGGACCGCCCTACATCGAGGGATACTCGCCGGGCGAAACCCTGCGCCGCGGCCAGACCGTGGAGCTAATGTGCCGGAGTCGCGGCGGCAATCCGCCTGCCCAGCTCATCTGGTACAAGAACGGATCCCAGATACGCATGGCCTACAGGTGAGCCCACTATAAATACTAATAACGCTTGCCTTATTAGCTTATTAACTGCAATATTGCCGCAATTTACAAATGTCAGTCCAGAATCCAATTAATATTTATTAATTAGTGCAACATTTTAGAGTCGAAAGGCAAATATTAAATTGAATATTTATTTTTCCCAACTAAATTTGTTCATTTTTGTCATTATTTGCGAGTTTTTACTGCGTAACGCAAGGTCAGACATCCTACATGGAATATATTTTGTACAAGACATGGCTTTTCCATTTAAAATACAAGGACAGCCGACTTTCCAGCCTTGAACTTTTCAGAGAAGTTTTTGCGCATAATTTACGAATGCCTAGAATAAATATAATGGATTTTAGATGTGAAGCCCGACGACACAGACTACAACTTTAGAGCAATTACTTAGCTGTCCGATTTAATTTGTTTATTAATTCCTAAATTATATTTCCAGGACCTCTGGCCGCCTGTCCGAGAACATCTATACCTTCACCGCCGAGGCGGGCGACAACAAGGCCCGTTTCCGCTGCGAGGCGAGCAACGTCATGTCGCAGAATCCGCTGAAGGCGGAAGTGGAGCTGTCCGTGCTGTGTAAGTCGCGTCCTAATGGAAGCATTGGGGCGCTTCCTCCAATTTGAGCCGCTTAATTGTGCGCTGTTCATATTTATATATGCAGGGGGGACTCGACTGAGTAGCGTATCAGGTTCAATGGGCGTCTAGATTACGGGCTAGGATGCGGGATGGCATCGGATAGTTGAGAGCAGAGAGCACTCGGAGATGTGGGAAGTGGATTGTGTCAACAGCCTGGGCCTGGGCTTGGCAGCGACATCTAGCGAATCCCACTTGGCATGCGAGGCATCGCTTTCCGAGACGAGGATGCCCCCCGAAAGGCTGCTCGCTGTTGCTTTCTTTCGCAATTAAGCTTAAGTTTGCACTTTGAAAGCCTCTCCAGCCTGCGTCCCACTTGGCTTTGTCAAATCAAGCAATGCAAATTCTTTTCAAGTGCCAAATAGCGCAGCCACTCCTCCTCATCCTGCTCCGCCGTCGCCGTAGCCGTCTCTCCGCTGCAGCTTGTTAGAGTTACAACAATTGCAATCAGGCGCACAAAGCCGACGGTGCCAAAGTCGTTAGCGACACTTGGACGGACGGACCAGCTCCGGCGAACATTTGCATGCCACATCCTTGCTGCCTCGCTCCCTGGCTCCTCTGCTACTTACGCTCATGTGTCTAACATGTAAATGGATGAGGCGGACGCCCAACGCGTCGTATGCGCGATATTTAAATTTCAAGTGCTCGGCAGTCCGCTGAAATTGGCATCTTTTACCTGAAGCAGCAACCTTTAAGAGAGTGGAATGTGTGTAGGGCCACCAGTTCCTCCCCTTCCATGGGGCACTGACTCCTCCAGTTTATGCGCATACCAATCAAAGCGCCATACAGGTCAGGCCTGCCCACTCATCTGCCCCATCTTGCCTGGCCCCAATAAGTATGCCACAGTGAGTGGCCAGCACAAACGGCAACGCGAACACACTAACACACATAGCACACGGCGAGAAAAAGCCAGGCGCGTACATTGGACTCCTCGGATTCCTAATTCGAAATCAATTATTTAACAGGTGGCATTGGCAAAAGTCTCTGGAGATTGATTGGGCAAACCCCATGAATAATTGGTGTCCTGTCAGTGAGCTTAACAGTGTTTTCAATTCCTTTAGAATCACTCACAAACTTAGTCGCATAGGGTTCGCAGGGTTTCTTAATTGTATCAGAGCATCTATGTACGTATATATAGACCTTCAGTTCTGACTCAAGGAGCGGAAGTTATAGCATAGCTTTCCGCTTCGATCAGAAGCTCTTGCGTTTCGCTCTGTGTAGTAGATAGATATCAGATGTAGCCTCAGATGGCGACCCGGGCTCTTAGCACACGCATTATTTATGTATAACGAATGTGGAACAACAAAAGTGAAGACGTAGCAGGAATACATTCGGCATCAGCATTCTTTTCCCCTGCCAGGGAAAGTGTGTGTGTGTGTTCCAGGGAGTGTGTTTGTGCCTAGAATGAAGATGTATGGCTCAGACGGACCGACGAAAGATGCGAGAAGTTAAGAATTCATAATGTTTATTTATATGCGAAACATATCGAGTCGAAAGTTTCCCATTCGTATTCGTATTCCTATTCGCATGCCCAAGACAACGGCGAATGGGGAACGGCAAACGCTGCGTATGCGTAATATATGCACTTATCCATCAAGGGAGCGGCAGCTGCAGCTGCTCCGGCTCCAGCCACTCCGCTCCGATGGCATTAGGTAATAGCTACGCAGACGGACGGACCGTCAGTCACTCAGTCATCATTTGCATGGCGGCGGCATCAGGAGCCGACATGCCTCCCCAAGGCTATTAGGGGGATACCTACAAGGATGAAATGGTAGAGAGCACACCTCCCAGAACCTGGGGCTCCTTTGGCCACAGACCTATTACATATTAATGCCTCCTTCATTATGCGACGTATGCCAGTAACCGGAGTTTCTCCTCATCCATCCGCAGTTGCACCCACCCACGTCACCGTGATGGGACCCACCGAGGCGCGCGTCGGCGATGTGGTGCCGCTGACATGCTCCACCGCGCCATCGAATCCGCCCGCCGAGATCAAGTGGATGGTGGGCGGGCGTCAGGTGCGCAATGCCACCTCAAAGACGATTGTCAGTCCCGAGGGTAAGTGCTAGCACCCGCTACCAAATGGCCACTGACATAATCTTCCGCCTAATCCATTTCCATCTCTGTCTGTCATCGCAGGCGGTTGGACGACCAGCTCGAACATCACCGCCACTGTGGAGCCCAACAAGCGTTCCCTGGTCGTCATCTGTCACGGACTCAACATGCAGCTGACCGAGAACGTAGTCTCTACCCACACCATCAACGTGCTGTGTGAGTATCCCTGACCACCTCTTAATATATACAATAAGCTTACCTATATTTTTATTGAAATGTATGAAAGCCCTCGCCAAGCTAGGGAAATTGAATGGGGTTTAATTTACTCTCAAAGGGAAAGCGTTATCAATACATATGTTCTTTATACAGTGCTCCTTAAGTGCTTACTCCTAGCTACCCTTGAACTGTCATGTTTCAAAGCAAGTTCTTCTCAGTTTTCACTTTAGTTTTATTTACACAACATTTTGAACCTTGCGTTAGTGGAAAATTCTCGATTTGTTTTATATAAACCTGATATAAATTTTCTACAATGGCTGAGTATCCCGTGTGCGTGTCCTCTTCCACTCGAGAGCTGGCCCGGCTTACGGCGGAAGAAGTTCAGATTGCCACCAAGGAGGTTGTCCAACGCAAAAAGACGGCCAAGGTAGCCAAGAATACACCCCCAGGCGGAGCCCAAATGGTAATGCGGCAGAAAATGTGGCGGCAGCACCGAGAGCGCGTCAAGGGGGCCGTTAGCATGGTGGACGCGGAGCCACCCGGCTTCCAGGCGGCCCGCATCACCGGAGTAAATAATTTGCGGGATGAGGCGTCGGTCTTTATGCAGCGCACCCGAGCCAACATCCAGTTACTGGTGGAGATCTCGCGCACAATGCGCACCCACGGCGCCATCAATCCGTTCCGCTACGAGGCGGTGCACGGAGTTTCGTCCATACCCGCGGCCCTGCTGCAGCTGGAACAGCTGGAGCGGATCAACCGCGACTTCGGCCGCCGCATTATGGAGGTGACCAGCGAGGTGGATTCGGGTCTGTCCTACAAGCGGACACGTGAGGGCCGAAACGCGAAACCACTGCCGCCGCTGGAGCTGCCCGCCCAGGCGATGGCCAAGTACGAGGCCTTCAGCATCCCGCTACCCAAGTCCGACGAGGAGCTGCGTCGCCTCTTCAGGCCGAAAATATACTTTGACTTTTACCTGAAGGACGCTCGGCCGCTGGGCAGGATAGTCGTCCAGCTGTACACGGAGGCGGCCCCGCTGGTCGTCCTGCAGCTGGTCAAGTCCTGTATGTGCAACCAGCACTCCAAGTTCATGGTGACGCGGCTCTTCCCCAATCTCTGGCTGGAAACGGACCTACCTCTGGCTCCGGATTCTCTGCTGCGCCAGCCGCTGGAGTATGACGCCAAGGTGATTGACCACGGAGCCTCCAGCTATGTGCTGTCCTTCAGCAAGGCCCACGTCAAAGGATTCGCGCAGCACCTCTCCTTCGCCATCTCGTTCAAGCCGCTGGCGGTGGTCAATGGCTCGCGGGTGGGATTCGGGCGTATTCTGAAGGGCGGCAAGATCTGCGACTGCATCCAGAGCTACGGAACCAAGAACGGGAAGCTCAGCCGCGGCCTGCACTTCACCGAATGCGGGCTGCTCTAGGCGGTTAGTCAGTGGGTTTTAAATTTTGTGTGCGAAATTCGCCATGTTCATAGTACCCTAATTTTGTAGTGTCATAAATTATAGTTTTTCTCTGCCCAACCAAAAATTTGTTTCGTGCAAAAACCCTTGATTAACGCCCTATATCGTTATTGTGACTAAGGAAGTTATCGGATCTAGATGAAATATACAAAATAACATCTTTGATCTTTAGATAAAATATAAATTTATAGTTAAATCATTCCAAAACAAACTTTCCTTGAGAATACAACACCTACTGTCTCTTGCCCCCGCACTCCCATGTTTTTCCTGATCCAAATCAAGGTCCAATTAGACGTACGCAGCCAGGACTTTGACACCACCTCCCCCCCACCGCCTCGTCCTGCGTGACACTTCTCTGCCCGGCGACAACTGCAAGTGTCTTAAACTCCATTATCCGATGTTTGGCGTCACTCTTCATTTGACTCAATTATAAGCGAAAGCGGTGACAAAAAAAAACCCCCCAGAAAAGATAGCTGCCTGAAGGGGGATGTAAATCCAGGGCAGGGATATCATCCACTCGATGGCAGGACGAGTGGGGAACGGGAGAGTTTGCTGAGCGCTGTGCCAAAGTCGGGGGCTTATTAATAATTGCGATTTCTAGTTCGGTTTATCCAGCTAGGCCACTCATCGCAGCCACTGCTCCACGCCTGCCCTCTGGTCCTGTCGTCGCTGTCGACGTCGACGTCCTTTGTGAGCGCTCTCCTGCAGCGCTAATTAATTTTTCTGACCAACATCACAGAGCACGAAAAAGCGGCGGGCGGGGAGGCGATGGGGCGGTGAGAGATTTACATTTATTACCCATACCAGGGAGCACTGGAAATGACTAACGGACCCCAAGGTAATGAGCCAGCCACCGCCCACCGTCCACCGCCAATCAAGGACGCGGCTATGTGTGTGAGTGGACGTGGTCGTGCATGGTCATGCCTTAAGGATGCGGACGCCCTGCGGATATTTTTACTTTATGCGCGGCAAATTAAATAATTTTAATTTTTATTGTTCGGCCGCTCTTGGCAGCTCTCTCCCTCTCTCGAAGGACACAGCGGTTGGTCCTAGTCCTGGTCCTCGTTGGCGTCCTCATCATTTGCTGTTTTTGTTGTAGGCCATAATTTGCTGGCTCGTGGCTAAGTTTTTGGGGCCACAATTCGTTGGCCCATTTCCCCGGCCTGGGCCTGGGCTTGGCGCTCCTTTGTTTGTCTTTTTCTGTACGTTTTTCTTATCCCGCGTTCCCTGCCTCTGCATCCACAGATCCGCCCGCGCCGCCATTAATTTCTGGCTATATAGAAGGACAAATTATCCCAGCTGGCTCTGTGCAAAAACTGCTTTGCGTTTCATCTGGCGGCAATCCGTTGGCGACGCTGACATGGTACAAAAACGACAAAAGGGTGAGTACAGCGAGTTTCCCTTTCCTTTTTTTCCCCGTTTGTTTGCATTTTCCGCAGCACACACACACACACACACACACACTTAGACAAAGAGGGCGAGCGAACACAGCAGGCAGCAAACATCCGCAAAACAATAATGGCGCTTTTGTTGACCATTTCCGCTTCCGCTTTATGGGCTTAAAGTGCTAATGAGCCACTGCAGCGCGGTAGCTCTATTGCCAGAACGATTTCGGTTTTCACACCTACCTCGGGCCCACCATCAGCACCGCCGATAACCTGGGACAAGTCCCACTATCGTCACCATGTTGGGACTTGAAACTAAAGGTGGCATTTACTGTGGGGGCAGAAAGTCACCCGCAACCGCAGCCAGAAGCGAGGAGCAGCTGCCGGTTCAGGTGCGGCTTCCTGCTCCACCTTCTCCCATTTCCCATTTGTTGCGGTGTCAGACTCCCAGAGTCTCGGTTCCGCGGGGACTCATCTGTGCTCGCTCGCTCTCTCCGAGATTAGACGACGTTTTATCAGCAAAATTAAAATGCATCCGCCAGCTGTGCTTTGCGGAGTTGCTTCCGCCGTCGACGAACAAAAAAATAACCCCACGTTATCTATCCACCGCCTTCCGTTGCAGATCAACTCGGTCATTCGAGCCGCGGACAAATCGGTGTCGGCCGAAATCACCGTTCTGGCCAACGTGTCCGACAACCAGGCCCAGTACCGCTGTGAGGCCTCCAACAGCGCCACCGAGATCCCGCTCTTCCAGTCCACCATGCTCAGTGTGCACTGTGAGTATATCGTTTGAGGAATATATTAAATATTTATTTTAAGTATATTAAAACGATTTAATTAATGGAAAAATGAAATATAGGAAGAACTCTTTATTGATTCTTCCCTAAATTTATCTTAAAGAACTATGTGGCCTAAAAAAGCAAAATATATTATTTAAGCTTAATTTTCTCACCCTGAATGCGTAAATAAGAATATAATTTATTCCAAGTCAATACCAAATATTGGAAAGTGTAGGGCTTCGATCGTAAGCGCAGGGAATTTACCAGCTGCTGAATCCATTCTTATTGCCCATTGGTGTATGTGTCTGTATGCCCTTGCAGTTGCCCCGGAGACGGTCAAAATACGCATTGAACCGGAAGAACTGCGACCTGGCATGGAGGCAACCATCATCTGCGACTCCAGCTCCAGCAATCCGCCGGCGAAGCTGTCCTGGTGGAAGGACGGCATCCCCATCGAAGGTATGTATGGCTCTTTGGGCTTGGCCAAGCGATTTGGCAATTGGAAGTTTGCCCATCGCAGCCCAGGCATTCGCTATTCGCCATGGACTTGGCGGCGCCGTCAGTGCACTTTGTTGGTGCGAGGCGTTTCCACGACAACATCCGGTTCGCTTGCCAGTCACTAAAATTACGCCCCTTTCTTCTTTCCGCTCCCATTGCTGCCATTCCCTGACCGATCCGAATCCCGTGTCCGTGTCCCATGTCCGCCCACCGGAACCCACTGCCATTTCCCCCATTCTCTCGCATCCACAGGCATTAATAACACGTCCAAGCCGGGTCTCTGGGGCGGCACGGTCTCCACGCTGGAGTTCAGGGTAAACATCACACAGGAAATGAACGGCCAGGTCTACACCTGCCAGAGTGCCAACGAGGCTCTCCAGCGGAGCGTTCACGAGGCGGTCAGCCTGGATGTGCTGTGTAAGTACCCGGCCAGGATAATTGCTCAATTAGCTAGCTCTGCAATCTGCCATCTACTGCCTCTAATACGCAGTCGAATCTATAAGTGGTGTCACAGAAGTCCTGGGAAATATTTGGGGAATCCTTTCAAAATATCGTTTTTATATCTTTGTAATTTTAGGGTGCATTTAGAGTTGAAATATTGAATGCTTTACATGTCTAGAAATAATTATAAACTGAAAAAATAGGGCTATTTTGGACGTTAAGAATCAATAATCAGCTAAATGTTCTAATTGTAAAAACATCTTAAAGTCTTCCAAAATATTTAAGAATTTCGTTTTTCTCTAATTTGCCTCATTTAAAATATAATTGTAATAGATTTCCCCCAGAGACTTCTTTGACAAATTTAAACTTTGAAAGAATTTCCCCTGACCCTCCTCTGAAATCCACTGAAATCCACTAGATCGTCCCAAGTTCGTGCCGCCGCCCTCTTCGACGGCAGTGGGCGTGGAGGGCGAATCGTTGGCAGTGTCGCTCCAAACCCGGGCCAATCCCACCAACGTTGAGTACAAATGGACCAAGGACGGCACGCCCATTCCACAGGACGGCGAGCATCGCATTTTCGCAGATGGCGGCAGCCTGAACTTCACCCGGCTGCATCGGGACGATGCCGGAATCTACTCCTGCGCCGCCAGCAACTCGCAGGGCAAGGCCACCCTCAACATCACCGTGGTGGTGGAGTGTGAGTAGTACCTGCTCCCCCTTGGAGCCCTTTGTGCGATTTCCCTAATCGGACTAATTTCTGGGCTCGCCCTGCAGACGGAACCACCATCAAGTCCGTGTCCGAGAACATCATTGTCAATCCCGGCGAGGATGCGATGCTGTCCTGCAGCGTCGAGGGCAAGCCGCTGACCGAGGAGCACGTAAAGTGGGAGCGCGTGGGCTACGACATGACCGTGAAGACATCGACGACCTTTGCCAATGGTACCTCCTACCTGCACATCAAGGATGCGCGGCGCGAGGATGTGGGCAACTTCCGGTGCGTGGCCGACAATCGTGTGGCCAATCCGACTAACCGCGATATCCTGCTGATAGTCAAGTGTAAGTGTAATCTGTATATTAAGGAAACCTATATCCTTACCTTTCCCAATCACCTCTCCAGTTGCTCCCGAGATTGCCAAGGCACCGACGCTCCTGCGTGCTGCCAGCGGCACAGGGGAACGGGGACGACTTCCTTGTCGCGCTCAGGGATCACCCAAGCCGCAGTTCATCTGGCGGCAGGACAAAAAGGATCTCCCCATAAATCGGACGTACAAGTATGAGGTGGAGGAGCGCAAGATTGACACCCTGACTTACGAGTCCTCGCTCATCGTGGACAAGGTGGCTCCGGCAGACTATGGCGCCTACGAGTGCATTGCCCGCAACGAGCTGGGCGAAGCAGTGGAGACGGTGCGCTTGGAGATCACCTCGCAGCCAGACCCGCCGCTCACCCTCAACATCCTGAACGTCACCCACGACACGGTCACCGTGGCCTGGACACCGGGCTTCGATGGTGGCCTCAAGGCCTCGTATCGAGTGCGATATAGGTGAGTGATAAGGCTTGAGAAATAATATAATAAGAGATACATATGAGAATAATTTTACTATGCATAATGTCCTTTAAAACTAACCCTCTTGTCAGATTTATAAAGAGGTCGGTGAAGGCACTGACTGACCCTAATAAAAGTGCACCGCCATGCTTCTCATTTCCCACTTAACATTTCTCATTTTCAGGATGGTCGACCGCGAGCAGTACAAATACATCGACGGACTGCCCAATAGTCACAAGCTAACCATCGGCGGACTGCGCATGAACACGCTCTATCTGTTCTCGGTGATGTCCTGGAACGAGCTGGGGTCTAGCTCCTACCTGCCGGACTTGGCGCGGGCCGAGACCAAAGGTAAGTCCGCTCCATATTCAAATTAGCCGCGAGTGCGGCGCTGACATTGATTTATGCGAGGCCGCCGTTCGTTTGGCTTTTATGGCCACTGGATGCCAGTCGTAGCATCCGAGCATCCTTCTGACTATGTGGTGGTGGAGGTGGTACCAGGTCAGTTGTCAGGCGGCGATTCGGCAGATTTGTGGAATTAATTAGATAGCCGGTATGATAAGCAGCTATCAGCCTAATTAGAAGCACGCATGGAACGAGTCCAACTCGCGGCAATCAACCGAAATAATTGATGAAGTGAAATTGGTCCAGACACTGGATTCATGCGGGGTTTGTATTTGCACAGCTTCGAGCTATCCAGCAGAAACACGCAGTCAAAGTAGCAAATAAATCAGGAAGCCGAATTTAGTTCGGTGTCGGAAAGATTAGTTTATGCCTAAAATAGAGCAGCTACATTCATGTATATCCTCTCTTTAGAATGAGCATTCATATGATTAATAGAACAACATTTATTCGTTAGATTGAGTTTCAGAGGCTACTTTACATTTGACATTTAAGAAACTAGAGTTATTCCAGAGAATCGCTTGACTGAACCCCACCACCTCCTTAGCATTTCAAGTTGAAGCCACAGAAACCACGTAGTATATCCTTACTTATCGCTTGAATCCAGCGGTGACCTCAGATCTGATTTGTTGTCTCACCCAATGATCTCGTCCCGACCCTCTCATGCTGCACTTAATTGGAATTGCATTACGACCATCAACAACGCCAACGACGCGACCACCGCAAATGCCAAACACTCTCTGCAATCCGATCTGATGCTACTCCTCCCACACGGACGCACTGCATCCGGGCATCCTGGGGGCCCCAAGCAGAGGCGCCGCCCCCATCGCACCCGGCCTCGTCACTGGGCGGCGGACCGCCGACCACCAGCCAGACGCCGCTGGGCGGCACATCGGGCATGCTTTTGGTGGGCGTGGGCGCCGGCATCGTCGTCGTCCTGCTCAACGTGTTTGTCATCGGCTGCTGTCTGCACAAACGGAACGAGAAACGCCTCAAGCGAGGTACGGGAACGCGGCCGCAAATCGGAGCAGAGTCCTGCGGTTGTTGCTGCTGCACAAGGAGAAAAAAGCCGAGAAAGCCAGATCTTTCCTTTACAATAATCCTATTACTCCCAAGGTCACATTTTATTCATAGATTCTTTGGTTTAATCAGTAGCTTAGAGACCTAAATGGTTCTTCTTTCTTCACAAGTACAAGTGACTTGACCCTAACGTAATCCTTAACTTGGAGAGTCTCCAACATTTATCTCAGTGTGCTATCGACCAAGATGGGGTTAAAAAAGGAGCTATCACGGGGGGCCAAGGATCTGGAACTGGGGTCCGTAGGCATTTGAATTTCTAATTCCCTCGGCTCGGCCGGCAGTCGCCTCCGTTATTTTCTTTTAATTTGTGGGCGTTGTCAGCGCACGTGCCCGGTGGTCAGCAATTGTGAATGGGAATGGGAGTCGCGTTGGAAACGGCAAAGGGACAGGGAATTGGTGTAGGCATGGCCATGGGATGGCGATGGCGGCGTTGCTAATTTCATTTGCCATCACATGTTCCGGCTCCGCTTCGCAGCCTCTACGTGATTTGCGTCACTCGCTGGTCGCTAGTGGGTCTCTTTATTTGATTTCGCTGCGTGTGCTCGCCATGCCAACCGAAAGGGAACCCGCGACCCGTGCTCCTGCCCCGAATCCCCGACCCAATCCGAATCCGAATCCGACGAGCCCGCGCCCGAGCTGGAATCGAAAACTGGGACGGCTCGCGTTCATTGCTATGCTCTGCAGCATTTTTATTTTTATTCCTTTTGATATTATTCTTTTTTATTACAATTTCTCATTTCATTTCGCATTTATTTATTGTTTTATTTTTGCAACCATATTTTTTTATTCTCTTCCATGGTTCGTTTTGTCAAGGACTTGAACTGATGCCAGCGGAGTTAACCGAGAACTCTAGCAACACACCGAATCTGGTCATAATTGGCATTTCCCTGGCGGCGTTCGGCTTCCTCCTGGTCAACGCTGCCCTCGTTGCCTGGTTCTTTGTGCATCAGCGCCGCAAGAAAGGTTACTACTATTTATTGCTATTATTATTATTACTATTTTTATTTTGGTTACGTATTTTCCTGCTTTAAGTATTCTTTAATGAGCTGCTGCTGGTGCTACTGTGGGGTGAAGGGTTTATGGGTTTTGATTATATAAATCTAACAATTTGAGCTCGAAGTGCTGCCAAAGCCTGTCAGGTTTCTCCTAATCCTGTCTGTGGTTTTTGGTCCGCCTTTGAAAGAGCCCATTTGGGCATGGTGCACCGCTAGACAATTGCATTGGCTTGCGCAAGCTGCAGCGGCAGCAGGCACCGCTTCCGTGACACCACCGGATGCGGAAGAGAGCGCGTTGTGCAGCTTCCGCTGCCCACTAAGGACGTCGACATGCATGCTCACTTTATGGAGCTCACTAAACAATTTCCTGCATACGCAGGCTCCCAGGGCAGGGGCCAAATCCTCCACTCCACTCGGTCTCACAATCGCTTCTTGTAATTTCCGTGAGCAACCAATGCCAAGCGTGGCCAGGATGCAGGATTCAAGATCCGGGAGAGCCCGGGCCAAGGCAAAAAGTCAGCAGTCAACAGGAATATAATGATGACAGAAAATAATGATGCATCCTGGAAGTGCCAGCAGCCGGCAACCAGCCACCAGCAGGCAGCTGGCTGCCAGCAGGAGCCAGGAGGCAGGAGGCGGGGGAAGGGAAGGAACTGCTGTTTATTGAACAAGAGAACCCCCACCCAGACAGAAGGCAAGACAAATGTGCATCGTTTTCTTAGCTGAATGCACAATCTTCCGGAAGCCAGATTGCTTTGCGGAGGTCAGGGAGCACGTGTCGACAAGTGTTGGACATGTTTGCCGAGGACTGTTTATTAAACCGAATTATAATTCGCACCGATCTGGGCTTTAAAATGGAAGCCATGACGGCGCCATCGCCCAATTGTGGCCATTTTTGCCGGGGCCAGCTTTCCCCGTCTTGGCAATCCCATTCTGACTGGCTGACTGGCAAATTTGATACGTGGCACACGCGGCGTATACGCAACGAATCGCTATTACGTGACGTCTGCCAACACGCAACACGAGGCGGCTACGCTACACGGGCTAACCAAATTATTTCCATTCACTCGAGCCCCACAATGAAGTTGCATCGCGAGCTCAATAAGCCAGTTGGGGCAGGGAACACAAAAATAAGATCCCAAAATTATGCAAATGCACGTGTCCTCCATTTATGGTAACCGGATGGAGATGGAGATGCAGATGCAGTTTCAGATCCAGATGCCAGCTGCACTGTCTGTCATGCCGGAGAACTGCAAATTGTGACGGGTTAAGGGATTCACAAATAGGCTTTTGTTTATCCATATAAAAAAAACTAGGGTCTCTTTGTATTTAAAAAGTATAAATTTTATATTTATTCCTACAAAATTGTTCAACCCTATTTATAACTGGTATCTTGATTTTACTTAAAGCTTATTCGTACCAATCTCTATATTCTTTTATTCTTTTTATTTAAAAATGTTTAAAGAGCTCAAATTTACGTGATGTCATTTTTTTCCCTATTTCTTTAGATAATTCACAGTGTAAGGCCTTTTGCTTGTAATTTTCGAGACTTATTTGCTGGTGCACAAGCCGACATAATTTGAAAAAATCACAGAACAAAGAGCCAGAATATACTTTTCCCATAGTTTTTGATGCGCTGATGGTGATATTCCATCTTTAAAATGAAAAAAAAAACGGGTTTTCAAGTTCACGTTCGATTTCTTGGTAGTTGTATAAAGAGCATAAATTCAAACGAAAAATATTAGAATCTCCCTTATTCAGGTATTTCCTAAAATATTTCTCGGTGTAAGGCATTCCGTCTGTAATTTTGGAGACTTATTTGCTGCTGTCATATATGCTCTTCCATGTATAAATGGCGTAAACATTTGACTTATGAGTTGACGCTCCTCTCTCCAAAAAAGTCAAAAGTTTTGATTCATTAAGCCCTAAGTGAAGAAGAGGAGAAAAGAGGGGACGCCCCTCTTTGCATAGTGCATGACGACAGGGCCCGGAAACTAAACGAAGCCGACTTAATCGGGGTAACAAAATGTAGACCAGCTATTTTTGACATTTACAAACGGGAAGGAGCCTGAACTACAGCCGCAGGACATAAATAAGATATTTCCCTAAGAATCCCAGGACGGGCCAGACTCCATTATTTCTGTCTTTCATTTCCAGTACGGCACAGTTGAACAAATGGCGAGTGCCGGGATATGAATGCATTCCCGCTCCACACAAAAGAAAATTCATATTTCAGTCTTGTTGCAAACAAACAGAAAAACGAAAACGAAGCCGAAAAGGATGGCGAGCACGAGTGCGAGTACGAAAAGGAGGAAAATCCTCCTGGAAGGAACAACATTTTTATGACAATGTAGAGGGGTAGAGTCCGTAGTAGTACCCCCGGCCCCTTATCCCTGTCGAAAGCCGATAACTGACAATGCCCAAAAGGATTTTTACTTTTCCCGTTTTCAGTTCAGAGTTTTTCTTATTTTTTTCCATTTTTTTTTTTTTTTTTGTTTGTCCGCTTTTTGTGAAGTTGTCAGAGAGAGAAACTGGTGCGTCGGCCAGCCGGCGGAGGGGGAGTAGGAGGAGGAGGGAGGACTGCTAGGCTATCAGGGGATATCTCTCTGCATATTTCAATGTTTTCGCTGGCGAAACTTGACTTGTGTTTTTGTTGCAGCCCTCGGATATGCATTTTTAATGTGCATTTGTGCCTTTGTGTCAAAATGCCGCATGGCACACAGAAAGGAAATTCATCCCCGAGCACCAGATCTCCCTCTGCCCTCCTCATCCCGGCCATCCGGCTCCACTCCCTGCCATTCCATTCCAGACCTGACCAGCTCCTCGGCAAACCGAAAGCCCGACCGCAGCGGAGGCTGCCTAAGAAGCCTTTCGCTGTAGTTGTCGCTGTCCGATAAACTATGCCAAAAGTCTGCGGTTGGCAGCTGGTTCAGTGGTTCAGCTCCGTCGCCGACTGCTGGTCGTCCGCTGTCCCACGTCCTTGGTCCGCCATCCGTCGTCCGTTGGCGGTCATCGACCACAGTCCGCCATGAACAAGAGCGCGGCAGTGACCATCGCAGAGCCATCGCCATCGCCACTGCCACAGCCGCCGCAGCCGCAGTCAATGCCCAGTGCCACATATTTCATTCTCGTATGAGCTGGGCCTGAGCCCCGAACATCCAGAATAGCGCCATCTCTAATGTTTATTGCCTCCGAAAGCGGAAGGGGGAGGAGTTCGCCCTACACTGCGGGCGGAAGCCTCTCTAAAAAGTAGTTGAATTCATACAAATTATAAACTCCCGGCTTTGTTTTAAGATTCAATTAAACAAGTTTTGAGAATAATTATAGTTTTACTTTGAATTGACTTTGATTTTAGTTTGATTTATGATTGATTTGAATTTAATTTGAATTTTATTTACAATTAATTTTAATTTGCTACTCATTTCATAGAATACTCATGCCTTATTGCAAGTGTACTCCCTGGCCCAGTTAAAAGGCCAAAGAGGAGATGCATCAAACAATTGGTCTAGGATATCCATGAGTGGTTAACAGAGTTAGGGCTTGGACCCATGCGGCAATAGATTTCTGGCCAGAAAAAGCGCCAGAAGAGCACCTAGAGAGCACCCATCAACGCCGCCGCGGCCATAGTATCTTTCGACCAGGAGTAAAACTTTAAAAGCAGGCCGAGTGCAGCCGTTAGCAGTAGTAGGATGGCCCACAACCCGATCTCGGGTATATAGTTGAGTGCGACACTTTTACGACTTGGCGGGCGAAACTTTTATGCCAACGTTGCCACCAGCGATAAGACCACCCGAACCATCCGAAACCCACTCTTGAACAGCAGCCCCCGCCACTCGATCCCAGTGGCCAGCACTTGACTTTGACACTCTTTAAACAATTGACGGGGGGTTGGGGCAGGGGATGGCCCTGGGCCTGGCGAGGGGTGGGAATGGCGATGGGCATTCCCTGAGAGCTGGAAAAGAGGCACTGTGGCGTGCGTGCGAGAGCTGCGACATCGAATCTGAAGAGATAAGCGCACAGGCTGTCGTGGTCAGGGAAATCGTGGAAAGCGGGCAAATCAGGGGGCTGGCTCAGCAATGTCGAAAAGTTTGCTGCTTAGGCAACTGGCTATGACAACCCGAAAGCGGACATTGTTGGCCCACTCCCAGGATCCATTTGGAGCAGTGAGCTGGGAGCTGGGAGCCTTAAATGAGAGTTCATAAATTCGCTGGGCACTAAAACAAAGCGTAAAATAGCTCAGCGCCTAGGCCATTTAAATGGCAAAGAGCAAATAACCAAAACACTATCAAAAGCCACGACAACAAAGTATCCAGTTCTAAAGGAGCAAGCGATCTGCTTATGGGAACATGTTTAAATATATATTTGGGAACAATAAAAATAGATACAATAATATATCTTAAAGGTACCAAAAGGACTCACCCCAAATGATGGCTTTAGATAGATTGGCAATAACATATCTGAACACCCATTGAACCACAGCTGTATAGGCCACATCGGCATTCCCATAGACTCGGCCCACAAATAATTGAAAGCTGTTGGCCACGACAGAGAGCTCGACATGGGCTTACGAGAAAATACCTTCAAAGCAGAAGCCGGCGTCATTAACGTGCCCCGATGACCGCAGAAGCTGTCTAAGCCGCGACTCTCTCCCTCTATGTGGATATACATACGTGATCCGCAAGAAATCCGGACCATAAGTGCAAAATTTGTAATCTCTGTGCGGAAAGTGCAGCGGCGGCGGTCGCCAAAACAAAGAGCGGAATGCGAGTGCGGATTATTTGACATTCGTGTGGCAGAGCAGCCACCGCATTGTGTCCTGTGCCCCCGGCAACAAGGCTGACGCAGAGTGCTAAGCCCGCCCCACTGGCCATTAATGCCATACCCTGCCAAGGGGTCACTCAGCAGTCTGCTGTCCGTCTGTCCTTCTGCCCGGCTAACCTCCTGTCCGACTGCTGCTGTCCGGGAGTTTTCCCGGAAAGTTGGGTTTAGGCTTTATACAGTTTGAGGTTTGTAAGTACATACACAAACGAACCGAAAAGGCATTACATCAAAACTGGCTCAGCCTTTCTCGTATATCATAAAATATTCAAGCTGAACACAACCTAATCCTGGGCATATTCAAGCAGCATATTTATATGCATACACTGGGGGAAAAACAAGGCTATTTTAGGTGCAGATTTATACAGGTAATCTGTAGAAAAATGTGGCAAATAATAATTAAAAATCGTGATTAATTCATCAAAGAATAGTTTATAGTACGCGAGTCTAACCTTTTAAAATAGAAAATTGCTCTCTTTTCCTAGAAAAACCTCTTCGTTTCGTGCAGGTATTTTTCCATTTAAAGCCAAGGGTAAATCCCATTCGAATATATTCCATTTCATGGTCATCCTAAGCTCTTCGTTTGATAAATACATTCATGAGAACAGACTCACTGTCCACATACACACACCCGTGTGCCGGTGAGCGGTTTTGTTTTTAATTGTCTTAATTGATAAAAGCCACGTGTATTATTTTAAATGCCCCGCCTGGCTCCCCTTTTCGGCTAACACTCGTTTGTTGTCATAAATAAAACAAGTGACAAATGCCGAAAAACGTTTTTAGCTCGCTAAGCCATAAAATCACGTATACGAAGGGGTGGTCGCGGGGGCATTCTGTTCTGTAAAATATATACATATACAGAGAGCGCTGTCATCGGCAGACTAGGAACAGATCCCTGAGCCGATTGAAATTGCGGACGCAGCAGTAGGACCCACAATTAAATGCATTTTCAATTTTTAATTTTTTCCCTTCGACTGCCCGCACAACACACACGGAAAATTGTGTATAGATTCCCGGATTGTGTGTGCATATGTTTAATGAATTAAAATACAACGCAACTGAAGGCTGGTAAATCATAAAAAATGCAAATTGAGGCGGCATCGCCGGCAAACAAACAAACCAAAAGTACACAAAAAAACATGAAATACACACGAAATGGAGACGGAACAAAGACATTTGCGTCCCAATTCAGTTGCAATTTGTTAAATATTCATTAGACATCGGCAAACATGGCGACGGGCACATAAACGTATATAAAGTAATTTTAATAACTCCCAAACATTCAATGTGCTTTGTGCAAATTAACAGAATACAGCAATTTTATCGACTAATAGTCCCCGCATGTCACGTAACTGGCGGACGTGCCGAGCCCAGGTCCCCTACACTACACTATACCCTACATAGCCCCATATATCCTGGGCCGCCCCTACCGAAATGTATTATTAAGAAACCGTTTGGCCATAATATCCCTGCATAGCTTGAGGACGCCGATGATGGCAATGAAGGCGATAGCAGCTGAGTGGCAGGGCAATGTCCATTTGCCATTACCCATTTACCTATCGGTGACATTCGGGATGGAGATGGGGATGGGTACGGGCATTCAGGATCACACGTGCCTATGGCCTTTTGCCTTTCTGCTGACTCCGCTCAGCTCGTAATCGTTATAAATTTTGTATCAGCCTCGAAGGGAAACTATAAAAGTTAGTATACATGGAGAAATATCAATTTTAGATATGGTAAATATCTGAGCCAAGAAATCCTATTGAAGTAATAAACACAGTATCAAGTAATTTAATATAACTTCATCTGTGCAACTGCAGCAGCAACCGTAAGCACTTCAAATATCCTTTAATATATCCCCTTAATAATATCTACTATAATGTCTACCTCTTTTATATACTTTCCATATACCACTCGAAATGGGAAATGTGCTACAAATAATGGACTCCACTTTGCGGCAAACACGTGTTCACTTTTGCGGAAAATGTGTCATAAATCATTTAATTGCATTTTTACCTTTGCCGGGCCTGTCAACTCATTTAACTGGGCCAATGTCCCCCCCCCCATGGCTTTTGTTTCCGACACGCCATCGAAATGCACATCAACGAATTCTGCGACAAATGTGAATAATTAACACAAAACCCACCTTCACCCACTCCCTGGCTTCTGGCTCCTGGTCCTGGCACTTTGACAATCTTGGCTATTTGCATGGGCTTTGCATTGCCTGGAACTCGGACACAATCGCTGCATATCCGACTTCTGTCGCACTGCACCACCGACCGATCCGCCGACCCGCAAACCCAAACCCACCTGGCACCGCTGCGAATCATCAATTTTCGGAATGTCACTGCCAATTACACCTTTTCAATATTTGTGCGCATACCCTGGCGTCGTCGCTGGAATATATTTTTTGTATTTTCTGCGACTACCAAATACAGTGGCGGAAACTACAAATCAACCGGCAAAAACGGCAACCATCGAGATGTACGCGCCCAGCTCGTATAATGACACCGTCACCGGCGAGACGCTGTCCAGCGTTTCGGAGAAGAGCGAGTCCTACTCCAATGAGGGCAGCAGCCAGCCCGAATATATTGTGAGTATGCCCGGAACCGAACTATTTTTTAGTCCCTACGCTTTTTTTCAGCTTTCCCTTTTACCCTTTCCTTTTGGGCTTTTCCCCCTCCATTTTTTCTGTGGGATGAGCATGAATATGCAATTTGTGAATGGGCACAAAAACGGCAAAGCGAAAAATAAAATAGAAAGAAGAGGTGGCCAGTAGTGGAAAATCGCCTGGCATTTTAGGCATTTTCCATTGCTAAATAGATGTCCTGCAGGTGCAGGGGAGTCGTCACTTGGCATTTCCTCTGGCATTTTTTTCCCCAAAGTCATTCAATTTAAATATTGCTTTCTTCTCCGTCCGCACTACAGCCTGTCAATCACACCGATATCGGGGCCAATCTTTTAAAGGCTATAGTCGGTGAGACTGTTGGTTAAATATAAATAAAAAGAAGTAAGAAAGATATAGCAGAATAAGCTCTGGAATATATATATTTTCTTGATGGATAAACCCCTACAGATACAGGCTTTAAAAATCAAAAGCGCCTTTAAGGAGTATCCTGTTTTCAAATCCATTCAAAATGCCAGTTTTTACAAAACTAAAGGGATTTTAATTTGTGTTTTTTTTTTAGATTTTCCCTCGAAAATGCTTTTTTCTATTTCAACAAAGGATTATCCAGCCCTTTCAGTTTCAGTTATCCAGTTAACTTTTTATGTAAAAAATTCAGTTTTTCAGAGATTCATTTCCTCTTTTTTAGAAAAACAAAGCTGTGTATGAACTATGATAAAAAATACCCCCTTAAAACCTTAAAGGATTTTTAAATATCCAAGCATAAATTAGAAAAACCCGAAATAGCATCAGGTTAAGTTGAAAGATGAAACAAATATGCTAGAACCAAGCAGTTAATAAGCCGCAAAAACAAATTTAAGACGAAACAAGGCTTCCTGCCAGTCAATTCAAGGCCCCAATGTTGAGGCTGGTCAAAGCAGCAAAATCCCTGGCCTGCGGCCCTGGCTTTTCAATTATTACCAATGCTCGAAACGAGAGCTTGCAGAAAGGCAGGAAGTGCCAGACCAGACCCAGACCCAGCAGAAAGACCAGACCCGTCCAGCGAGGCGGAAACGGAAGCGGCAGGCCGACGTCGTCGCTAAGACGTCGTGATTAATTACGCGACGCTGATGATGATAATGATGAGCCCGCGAGTGGGCTAAGACGCCGGATAAAACTGGCTCCGGTTGGTGGGGAACTGGGACAGACAGGGAAGCTGCTTCAAACAAATCGTTTCAAATTATTAAAATCATTTATTATCGCCGTAATCTTGCAGCGGCAGGAAAACCGCAGCAACTGCCTAACCCGCAGAAGCCGACGGAAAGTATGTAAAGTGCGTAAACTGCGACCGCGCGTGTTATAAATCAGCCCCCTATAACGCCACCATATCCCCCGATTTCGCTCGTCCTTGTCCTTGGTTTTTGTCCCATGGCCCATGTCCTGGATGTGCCCGATGTCCTCGGCCTCCTCGCTGTCCGTGTGTCGCCGCTGTCATTGTGGCTGTCAATTACGCGCCAACGACTTTCAACGCCTTTGCCAAAGTATGCCAAAAAGCAAAGTGTGGAGTAATTACGGGGCATTACTCAAATGGGAATGAGAATATAAATTGATATATACCCAGTCAGCCAGCCCCCACAACTCTCTCCATGTCTGCTCCATGTCTCACCACATCCTTCTCTCTGTCTTTATCCATTCGCAGGACGAGGCCCGCAAGAAGGCGGCATCCACGTATTTGGTGGAGGGCTCGGATATGCCGCCGCCCAGATACCAAAAGGATGGCACCCTGCCAGTCATATATCCGAATAATATTGGTAAGTTGATACTGCAGCAGGTCCCCACCTGCCGCCTCTAAGAAAGGAGCAGAAAATTTAGAGAACTGAGCTTTTTTTAAAGGGTTGAGTCCTCTTAAAGGAAAAAACTCTACTTTTAAGTTAAAGCTAATTACCTTCTTGAAATCTTATCTTAAATACCTATTTTACAAAAGAGTAAGCTATATTTCGCAATAAGAGCCATGCATATCGCTCAGTTAAGAAGCGAAAAAAACGCTTTAGATAATTAACTTTTGGGCAAAACAAAGTTGGGAGCTGGCACTCGCGCTGTCAGGACGTCAGCAGACCCACCCAGACCAGACCCGCTCCTGACCCTCTATCGCCCTCCGTTGCACTCGTTTTGGGTTGATTTTTATGCCATGATTGCAGCGCAATCAAAGCAAATGTTCGAAGAAAAGAGAGAAAAAATAGGGAAACGAAAATCGTAAAAAGCTGCAAGGGAAGTGAACGAGCAGAAATAAATATACAGAGCTTTGCGGCAGAAGGACGAAAGTGGGCGAGCTGAAAATTCAATTCCAGCACAACATCTCCATCTTAATTGTAATTGAACGGCAAAGTTTTTGTCAGTCTTGATTTTCAATTGACGTATGTAGGGATAGAGCTATAGACCACATATATATATGGCTCAAGGCTGACTCCAAATCACGTGCGGTCTGCGCTAATTTAAGAAAAAAAGCTCAGACCTCGAATTGCCGAAATTTAAGGCAAGCACAAATGGAAATGGAAGAATAATAACCGAGGAAAAGGACTCAGACTCGGATCCAGACCCAGGCCCAGACCGGGACAAAGAGATAGGGATAACGATAGACACCGTGACTGTCTATCAAAGCATCGAAGCCGGAAGAACAACAGCAGTTCTATGATAACAAAAAGCAGAAAATGCATTTTAAATGCAAAAGCGTAGAAATAATAAAAATACATTAGCTGCAGAACTTATCCCCGGAAGGGAGAGCCAGAGACTCTGGCATAAAAAATACAATTACCTTATGTCAACGACATGAAAATTTTGGAAGGCGCTTGCCCTCTTTGCTCCCCGCTGTGTGCCAAATATATTTTGGACAGCACAGCCAAAGAATCCCATGTCCTTGCTAATCCCTTTTTCAGTACTGTTTCTCGGTGTTTTTAAAATATATTAATTAACTTCCCAAGAGCATGTTACAAACCCTTATACCTGCAAATATGGTTATCAATAGATTTAGGTCTCCAAACTGGGTTATTGCATAATTCTTGACGTTTATATTTCTCGTAGAATACATCGATTTTTAATGGGTAACTCCGTGGTTTTCAAATCAATTAAAATTCTGCCCAATTAATGCTAAAAAACAAAAGATGCCTTGAAATTATCCATGACTAAGAGACTATTATTTATTTAATTGCACACTTTTCGGCGCCTTCCGAATTGATTTCAAATCTACCATAACTTAAATTTCCACTTCCTAAGAATTACGCTATGTCAAATTCATTTAAAAAGTCTCTTACATTATCCGACTATAACTGAAAACTTTCTCTCCGTGTGGCGGATGTCCCGTCGTTCGCAATAGATAAACCCAAGACAAGGTCTTGCCGCCCACTTTCGCCTCCCGGTTTTCCACCTCGGGGTTTTTGCGGCGACACGCATAATTACGTATGTGTGCTGTTGTGGCCGTGTGCCTGTGTGTGTGTGTATGGGTGTGTGCGGTGAGTACCGCCATTTTCTTTATGCCCGAAACAACAACAAGCGCGTAGCAGAGCGAGCTGAAAAGAAAACACGCTGAGGGAGAAGAACAACAAAGACAACAGCGAACGGCATAAGAAAGGACGACCGAAAGAAGGAAGAAAAAGAAAAATGAATGTAGGCGGCGCCGGTGAGGAGGGTGCGAAGGAATCCCCCACGTGGCACAAAAAATTAAAATGCTTGCCGGAAGCTGAATCTCAAACAAGCGGGCCCAAGGCTGTTGTTCCAAGCCGGGCGGAAAAGCGAGGAAAAGCGGGGCAAAAGCAGAACCGTGGTGCAGGAAAATTCAGGCAAGCAGCGGAGGCGACGGCATGCACATGAGCTTAACGGGGGGCGGGGCAAGCGGAAATTGTTTTTGTTAGTTGGCGTCACATTTTTTAACAGCTTTTTTTTCTTGGTTCTTCTATTTTTTCCTGGAGTATAAATTGCGAGAGGGTGGTGGTGCCGTTATGGGTGGCCGTCTGAGCCATTGACAAAAAACCAGATGACAAGCAACCACACCGCAATCCCAAGGGCTTCCCCTCCACCTCCCCGCCTACGGCGATTGCAATTTCATTTACCATTTACCATTTGCCATGGAAATGCATACGCGAGGAAAAGCCAGAGAGCCGCGCTTTTAATGAGACACTTTTCCACGCGCTGCCATGTTAATGAGCATGGCCGAAAGCAACAAGTCTGCGGCTCTGACCCACTTGTGACCTTGGGAGAGTGCGAGAGCCTCTGGTGGAGCTCAAAGCATGCGTTTTTCCGTAAATAAATGCATTTTTGGCCAAAGCTTTTCATTTCCTTAAATTATTTTTTAGGGGTTTTCAATTAAATGCATTAAGTGTACACTTGGGCAGTTTAGTTGGCAAACCAGGACTCCGGTTCTGTGTAAAATAAACAAAGTAAATGATTACCAGAAATCAGAAATTTGAAAACCCAAACGTATAATTTGAACCTATTTTAAAATCTATTTACAATTGGAATAGCTTTAGAATTTTTTCTAAAGCTATTCCAATTGTTTGTTGATATGAAAGAGCAACCAGATTTCTACTGGAAGCTTCTTTCACTAACAACAACACTTCTGAATAAGTTAATGAACATTTACATATCTATCTATATCTATTTTATATATCCAAAAATGTTTAATCATTTCCTTTAAGTCAAATTTTTAACTGTGACTGTATCTGTTGCCAGTTCTTTCGGCGTTAAACCCTTGAAGTCCCTCCTTTGGTAAAAGAAAACTCCCGCATTGGAAGGAGGACAAGGACTATAGCTCATGGTTGGGCCCCGCTATTTTTCATCCGCCACGTGAAGCATTTCTTATCTCCTTTCTGGCCTGGCCCAGTGTTATTAATATCTGATGAGCTGGGAGTTGGGAGCTGGTTGCTGGGTGCTTGGAGCCTGGAGCTGCTTGTTGGTGGCCAGAAGCTAGTGGTCCTGACCCGGGCAACAATTATGCAGCTGCCACAGAACCGAAATTGGAACAAAGATACAGTTTTCCGTTCGGGCTTTCTTTTTCGGCACAACAATGGTGGGCGCTGATCGAAAAATCAATAATTCATGAGTGACTGTCTTTTGAGGGAGCCACACAGCTCCAGCACATATGCAGAAGTAAACAAGCCGCAGGATGAACAAGGACCCAACGCAGGCTTCCTTCGATTTGTCGTCGTCGGTGTCGCAACTTTGCCCTCACAAAATATTGTGGCTGCTGCTCTCAGCTTCCCGGCGATGTCAAAGTCTATTTTACAAAATTACGAATTTGTTACGTTTGCGGGATTCACGCCTCCGCAGCTGACAGACGCTCGATTTCCACGGAACGTGGCAGTATGTCGGCCAATTTGTCACGCCCCAAGCAGGTGGCACGGTGGCAGGATGTTGGCCCTTTGGCCAACTGAAGACTCCATCGACATTTGCATATTTATTGGGCCGGGCTTATCAGCAGTGTAGCAACCATTGCAATTAATGGCCCTCACTTTCTTTTGCTTTCCGTGCGTTTGCACACGAAATCAGCCAGAACCGAACAGCAAATTGTTGCTAGCCATGTGTGTTGGCCATTTGTTCAGGTGTGCTTCCTATTTTGCCTTAACATTTGATTTTTGGAAAGGCTTTCTTTATTTTTCGATATTTCTAATGCACAAATTGTGTGTAATTTCCTGATGGCATCTACGATAGTTTTAATATTGTATTTTCAAATTAAAAATGTTAAAAATGAATAAGGATATATACGCATATTAAAATATACCCAGGAACTTGGTATTATTATCTTGAATATAAGCCACAAATTCGATTAAAAGCTTAAACGATAATGCAGCCTTTAGTGTTGTGCATGCGGCAACTCCTTCGATTATACAGCTTCCTCGCCTGCAGTTTTAAAATGGAAATTGAATGTGTTCTGCATTTTGCAACTCTCCATTTGCGGCATGCTCCGCTTATGGTCGCAATCAAAGCTTAAGCCTTGGCCATTCGGCAGCACCGTATACACACATACATACATACTATATGTGGGGAAAAATATAGGAAAATAATCAGTAGAGCGCAGCACGTACCCCGCAAAAAGGCAGGGACGAGCAGGGGCTATTGGTAAGCCATTAAAATCAACCCGAAGCCGGCTAAAGTGGGCTTTATGGCCGCACACAAAAAACAGCAGCAATGCATATAAAATGGGGCTCACTTTGACTTAAGCACATATTAACTGAATGCCGCCATATAACACATATATTTTGTCTTATTTTTTCTTACAGTAAACGCCTGCACGCTGCCACACCCCCGGCACAACAATGGAGGCGCCGCCATCCATATGACCCGGGACGATCAGATGCTAATCAGCAAGGGCGTCTATATTCCGTCCCCGTCGCCGGCGCCGCCGCCAGATGGCTCCTACTACAACATGAACAGCGACAGATACTTGTCCTATCCGCCCATGGTGAGTGAGATCAATGACCGACCGAGCTAGCTAGCTAGGAGCAGGAGGGGATTTGGCTGGGATCCAAGCTTAACGGAGGAACGGCGGATGCAGCTGGCTTAATTGCCCGCATCTGTAGTTACCTTCTTTGATCTGGCTGCCATCTGGCTGTGCCGCGTCCCTGCCAGGATTATTTCGCTCAATTAACCGAAGTTTTCCACGGAGCAGAGGGAAGCCTGGCACTTTGCATCCCCCATAAATCCATGTATCGATCTCTGAGAGGGAGACCGTGTCTCAGGCAGTGCTCCCTGCTGGCATTTAACGCGCGTCGCTTCGACTTTTATAATCCGCAACACTGTAGAGACAAATGACGGACTTAAAAGCGTTATAAGTAAGCCCCATGAAGCAGACTGCACTGGCAACTGGCAACTGGCTTTGTTGCATTGTCCTGAGCGCGGAGGGCAAACATTATTTTCCTCCCTCCTGACAACAATTTAATATCACGCATACGCCGCGTATGGCAGCTCGCTTTTACGACAAGGCACGCCCACAGATGCGACAAAGTTTTTGCCTTTTTCGGGGCTGCCATCACTCATAAGGAGACGGAAGGAAAGGGGGGAGTCGGGAGTCTGTCCCACCTCCGTAAGACACACCGCATCTAGTCAAGGACATGCGATGTCCATTCCTTGGCGGATGCCACACACATTCGCCTCTTGTCGCATTGGCTGCCAATATAAATTCCGCAAATTTCACAATAAACATGGGGAAATCAATTTTCGGAATTTATGTTTCCGACGCTCCTTTTATGGAGCCCCTCCACCGCTGTACGTCCAAGCATGTGTGTCCCCTTTGGCGGACTTGATGACTGCTGGCACTAAAGGGGTGCAAATGCGACAGCATAAGATGACACCAGACGTGGGACGACAGTTAGCCCCGTTCCCATTGCCATTTATGTGTCGTATCAACTTGGCTGACGCTCAATAATTGTATAAATTAGATGGAGGGGAAAATGCAGCAGCAGCAGCAGTAGCTCCAGGACAGGGAAGTAATACTGTGGGGCATCCATAAATTGTTGGGACATGTGCCAGCATAACAGGAGCAGGAAATATTGAAAAACTTTTGTGAATTTCGAGGTATCTGAAATATATCCTACACATTCCAGCAAAGATTCCTTTAGTTTGTGCTTGCCTACATTGAAATTGCGTTGCTAACCTATTATAAAATATATATTACAACTGAAAAGGACTTACCCATCAGCTCTGCCACACTGTGCCTAAGCTCCCCCCCTAAGGAAATGGGACACCAGCTGGCTGCAGCCGGCTAATATAATAATATTTATGCTTAGCAGTTGACCATGTTTATGGGCTTTATACGATTTGTTAAGTTATTCAATTGTGCGCCGGTCCCAAAGAGTACACAGTTAAATGATGTGGTCGGACGGCGACTGGCAGTATCAAGTGTCCAGTGGCCAGTGGCCAGTGGCCAGTAGCCAGTGCTCCGTCATCGTTCTTTGCCAGCGCCCCGACATGGGACTAAACCTTTTGTTTGCGGTTTTTAGTCAACGAGGGAGAAAAATTCAATTTCGGTTTAGTTGGTCAACAATGACATCCCATATGTGTGTGTATATATCCTCCCACATGGAGCCACCACCCTTCCGCTTTGTGCGGGGCCTTTTGCCATTTCACATAAGAAATGTTTTGTGTGGAAGCCAAATTGAATTATTTGATAAACATCATTAGAAAAATTACAAAATATACAGAAAGGAGCAGTCCCTTCGCTGTGGCTACCCGCAAACATTTGGCCAGCACTAAATTACTTTTCAAAGAGAGCATCTGTCTCAGTTTCAGCTCCAGCTTCTGTTTCAACTGAGGCTTCTTCGGTCTGCGCCACGTATCCAAACGGACAGCAAATGAATAAGGACAATTTATAACAGTAAATCAAATTAAATTTCAATTGGAAAACTTGACAATATAAAAAAGAGGACATAGAGAACACACACGCACACCAAGGACCGAATAAAACAAAACAAAATGGCCATCTAACAAAGTTAGAGCATCGCTCTGCACATTAGTCCCCGAAGAGGGGCTGCTCCTCCATCTGGGCTCCACTGTAATTGCCCATCACGGACTCCGAGTCCCTGGCAATGGATGCGGATTCGATTCGGCTTAGCCAGTTTATCACAAAGCGCTGAAAAGTGATTGAGCAGCTTCTTAATCAATTTATGTTCTGCGGAGTTTCCCATTTATGATGCGAATGTGTTTCCGGTATTTGATTTATTCGATAAGGCAAAGCCACTGGACTTGAATTGACTCAAATACTTAAAATCTTAGGCCAATATTTACATCAAAATCCAATTTATTGTCAACAGTCTGGCTGTAACTATGAATGATAATTTGACAGGCCAACGCCTTGCCTTCCCGAGTTGAAAAGTGATTGAGCAGCTTCCTTGTTAATAAATTTAAGTTCGTTGAGAGAAGGACTGTTCTCTGTTTGATTTATTTCTTGAATTTCACTTTGTTTATGAGGTTCATTTGATGAAATAAATTGCAATCTGCGAGTCCTTCGATTGCATCCTCCTTGGATGATTTTACTCAGTGTTTCTCAAGTGGGCGTAGGCTTAGCTAAGCTGATCGGCGGTGGTTAGGAGCTGCTCCGTTCGGCTCAGCTGGAAAAGTTTTCCCATTAAACTGTCGCCCGAGATATGAAACAATGAAGGGCGCAAACAGAAGTGAGCCCTAAGCCGCGGCTCAAATAGGAGAGTGGAGATGGAGATTCCCTGCCTCGAATCCTTTGGCTACTTTGGTTCTTCTTGGTTCCTGAAAAAGGCCAAGATTGGCACTAACGATGCCATAATTATGACAGCACTCTCTGTGTACAATACAACTTGCTGACAAGAACTTCTCCTTCTCGGGCGTCGGCAGGAGAAAAAAAAAAGAAGCTCTGACTGTCTGCGAGTGGATTTCCAGTTCAATTGACATGACACTTTGTGCCAGTTGAGGAGGAAGTCGCTCCGCATGTCCAAGTTTGCAGCACGTACAACTTTCAAGTTCCGAACTGCAAACTTTGGCCGTGCACCTAATTGGAATATTAAGGAGCGTCCTGCGAATCAAATTCCCTCCTAGTACCTTTACAACGATTGCCCAATTGAAAGTCCTGGAGGATTAACACGGCGACAGGACGACAGCCAGCAGAAACACATTAGATACAAAACACTCAGCTCTGATTAACGGAGCTGGGATTGGGCCGGGGAATTGCAAGTAGTCTTAAGTAGACCAGGGCGGACATTTTGTATCAGTTTACAAAGTTAAATTGTCTTCAACGAAAAGTTCCTCGGTCGCGGCGCTCAGGGCTTAAGCCAAGGCGATTTGGGAGCGACGAGAAGGATTCCGGGTTCCCAGCTCCCTGGTCCCTGCTCCTGCAAAGGGTTTCTGCCTGCAAACTTTTGGCCACTTAAAGGCTTTTGTGTGCCGCGCTCGCTAATTCGCTCCGCAGCTCATTATTGTTGCCGATGCCTCCGGAGTTGTGCCGCTGCGGCTGGAACTTCATTCTGTGTAAATAGAATAACCAATTGGCATCGCCACTCGCCACCCCGCTGGCTACACTGTCCATAAAAAAGAAACTTTCCACATTAAGGCCAACCAAGCGGCGCCGGCGGGCCAAGGCCACACTGAAAGAAATCGCTTTTCCATATAGATTTGAGTACATTCGTAATGTAAATATAAAATGCATAAGCTTTAAAGCTATGAAAGCATAGCCAGGAAGAAAGGCTTAGGTTCTCCACAAGCTTTAACTTATCTATCCCTTTCCAATTATCATATTTCAAGCTTTTTTTCTCTCAGTGATTGACAGTCTCGCTGAGCTGAAGCTAAAATTAAATTATGGCCTGGGTGCGGATCCCCTTATTTATTTAATCGGCATCAGCTGTGCACTCCTCCCCCATGAATTTTAAAACAAAACACTCTCTCGTATCTTGTAACTCGTATCTCGTATCTCGCATTGATGACAGCAACAGCGCCCGGGTGCGTAAAGTATCTGACGGATGCCTTGGCACTCCTTTGCGCTTCTGCGGAGCCCATTCCCCGTGCAGGATTCAGGATTCAAGATCCCTGATCCCTTCCCGCCGCCGCCTGCAGCTGACAGCTCCGCAGTCAGACAATGGCCGGAGTTCGCCCGCACGAAAACTAATTGAATTTAAAACTGTGCAGAACTCAAGTTAACAAAGTGAACCGTAGTTAAGTTGTCCGGCTGAAGTCAAGTTCCTGCCCTCCGGCTCTGGCTCCGGCCACTCCACATGTGCACGTAGTAGTCAGTCCACATAGGGATTCCGACTGCGTCCGGCAGTCAGCATTTAACTTATCAACGCCAGCCAAACGAAAGCCAAGCAGCGGCATTTCGGGTGTGGAATTGCCAAGTGAGGCGGCGGGAAGCCTTGGAAGGCCAACCAAAGTTGGCAATAAAATACAAATTGCCGCTTAAATAGTTACAAGCTGGTTGGACAAAAACACCGCAACGGATGGATGAGTGGGTGGCTTTGGTATCCACTCTGGTTGTGGCTCTGCCTGGGTGTGGCCACAACTTGTTTTAAATTGCATTTACTTCTTGCCATTTTGCGTGCCAACAACCGGATACGCTCCTACCCCTACAATCCTTGAGGCACTGACCCTGGAACATCCTGTTGCTGCCTTTGGGTCAATACAAAGAAGTTAGTCAAATCAATTGGTAAAAAGTGGCTTTTGTGACATTTTTAGGGGTTACACATGAATAAAACGCACCTCCCTCCTGGTCAATACATTTTTAATTAAATTAATGATATATATTTTCTTCCAGGAATACCCGGCAACCCTGGACTTCAGCGCCCAGCCCCTCACCATGGCGCACCTACAACCCATGTCGGTGACCTCTCAGGCCGCCCTCTTGGCCAGCAATGGCGGCGCCACGCTTATTGGCAACGGATCAGTGGCCGCAGTGGCCGGCGGCTCGGGCACCTTGCGGCGGGGCATCCTGCGAGGAATGGTGGGCGTACCGCCTCCGGACGTAACCCACCACACGTCGGCTGTGGGCGGAAGTCCGATGCAGATGCTCCACGACCTGCACCATCCGGTGAACCTGAGCGCCTCCACGCTTACCACCAGCACCACGCTGAACGGTAGTCTTCCGACGGCCACAACCACGGCCACGCTGCCCCGCCAGCCGCACGGCATCCTCAAGGATCCCAACAGGAACAAGCAGCAGCAGCAACAGCAACAGCAGCAGCTTCTCAATGCCAGCCTGGTTGGTGTGGGCGTGGGTGTCCCTGTATCGGCGCCCATGGGCAGCTTACAGATCCTGAACCTGCCACCCGCGGGCGCCGGACTGGGCAACAACCTTCTGATGACCACCAGCGGCGCTTTCGATCCGACGGCGGCGGGCATGAGCAGCTTCAGCCAGGCCGGAGGCATCCCGGTGGCCTACACGGACGCGGACGGTCACCTCGTATAGCTGTAGGCGGGAACTGGGGCCACCAGCACCAGCTGCAGCAGCACCACGGTGCAGATCCTCACCGGCAGTGAGCCCCGGTTCTGAGCAGCCTAACCTAATCCACGACTCGTATCTGTATCTGTAACCAACCTACTCGCAAGGATGTAGCTAGTTTAGGAGCTTTCTCTTCGGCATCTGGGTTCTGTCTCTGATGACCCGATGTCCCCCGGTCCCTGGTCACAGTTCCTGGTCCCCGCTCCTGTCCGGCAGCCACTCTCGGCCATTACCTTATTCAAATCAGCCAGCGAATTAGTTTATGTAAATTTCCACCAAATTCTCGCCTTCCCTCCGCCGACTGTTGGGTGTTTATTTAGATAAGGCGGCGCCTTTGGGGGAGTGAGCATAATTTCGCAGAGAGTTTTACTAATTAGCCGAAAGCAGGAGGAGCAGCCAGAAGAAAAAAACGAAAAGCAGGCAAGAAGCGGGCGAAATAATTTGAAAATTTTCTTGGGTCGGGTGGAAAACGCGACGCGGTCCAGAGCCGCCGCTTGACAGCTCCCAGGGGCGTGCTCGGCTCAAGTCGACTGGGCACGTGATTGCCCTGGACGGTGCCCGGAGCGTCCACGCTCGTCGAAAGTTGAAGGTTGACAGCCGCTAGCTGCTCGGTGACCCCCGACCGCGACCCCTAGATACAGCTGCAGATTCCTCGTCCAGATTCGGCACTTCCCCTTTAATGGGACGGGAAAGCATTGAATATTTGGGGTAGGGAGACACCTCACACTTGAATAGATAGATAGTACAGTGGAGCTTCCTTGGTTTAGACTTTTAATAATTTGCAATGAAAGATTTAATAAATAAAAGATAATATTTTAAAAGTTAATTATTCAAGTAAATATTACGGGCAAGCCACATTTACTTTGACATTTAGTTATCAGGCTATAAAAAACCTGCTTTCAATTAATACTTTAATAATTTTAATATTTTCTCTATATAAAATGACTTCTTAATATAATAAGTTCATCCTAATGATTTTAAAATACCAAGAACGCAGTTCAACTTAAAGAAGTTCCACTGAATTCAAACAGGATTATAGAAGCTTTGCCCGGGAGTTGAGATAGCAAATTTAAAGACACTGTTCAAAATCAGCTGTAGCTTTTTTTTTTTTGCAGGGAAAACTTTCTTAGTGGTATGGCGAAATTTACGCATCTGGAAATCAATGTTTGCTCAAGATTACGACTTGGAATTTAAGTTCAGCAGCAGCCGCAGATATGAAGGGGCTACGGCCACGCCCTCGCTGCCATTATATGCAGAAGTTGGCTTTATCTCTTAGGAACACATCTCTGGCTCCGACTCTGGCTCTGTCTCCTTCTCCATCGCCTTCTGCCATCCATCGGGCAGCACTCGAGTGGCATTGCCGCACATAAACAGTTTTCATTTGCCACTCGTCGCAGCTCAGCGAGCGTGACATGCCAATCCTGGCCTGCGATGCCATTAGCTTTGCCAGTCCGCATCCCGAACCAAGACTGAGACAATTCTGGCATCTCTAGGACCAGTTTGGTTCGGTTCGGTTCGGTTCAGTTCGGGGAAGCGTTAACTACACGCCCTCGCATCCACATCCTCATCCGCAACCGCATCCGTATCTTTGACGTTGTAGCCAAGTTCTTGAGATCTCCGAGCGTCGTGCATAATTACAGAGCGGCAACTCGGGGCAGAATGTGTGGATTTTAATATTCATTTGGATGTAATTGCTGGATCTGGGTTGGAGTCGCAGGATTCGCAGATCCTGGGACTGCAACAACACTGCAGCTGCTATTCCGGTTGCCCTTCACCCTGGCCCTGGATTATCGCAAATGAATAAATGCCCTGATTTTGGAAATAGATGCGGAGGCAGCCAAGCCGCTTCAGTGTGTAATTAAAAGTGAAATTATCTTTGAAATTAACGCACGCGTAGACACAGACAAAGACAAAGGAAGCAGCAGGGCAGGGCAATGGGGGAAATGAAGAAAAATGCGCGGAAAACTGAGAATGAAATTAAGAATGAAGACGAGGCGGCTGGGAGCACACACATCCTCTGTGGGATTTCCGCTATTGAATAATTGCGATTGCAATGGCCAGATAAAAGTTAAATGAGCGAGAAAATAGGGAATGCTACGGTATGGGGGCCAGGGTGGGGCAACCTGTTGTGGCTGTCATTAATATTCGCCGCCATTATCTCGGCCATATTTCATGGGACTCGCACTCCACGCGGGACGCTGGTCAAGGGTCAAGGGACACGGGACATGGGACAGAGGCCACCTCTCTATACCAGATATGTGAATGTATAGCTTGTACTCCACCTCTACGAGTAGTGCTGCCAAATTGCATTAATAATTAGCATTTAACTGGATCCGTAACCTTAAGTAGCTAAGCATTTCGAACAACTACTCAAAACAGCAAACCAAAACCAAAACCTTTCCAATTGTACAATACCAACGCAGAGCAGCGAGGAAAGCAACGAGTAAAGATTAACGAGTAAAGATTAACGAATAATAACTAACGATAACTAGCGATAACGAAAAAAGGACAAATGCAGGTATATCGATACACACACACACAGATAGCGAGAGAAACAGACAGAGTCATTGCAATTCATAGGTGTAAACGTAGCATACTATTTCGCATCTCGTAACTCGTATCTCTTAGATCCTGACCCTCCCCCACTAAAGTTTGGAGCTCGGCAGGGAACTCCCCACTCGTATACATATAGAAATAACCAACCAACTCGCTGTTTTCTTAGGGATAACTACATATTTGATTGCACTCGAACTTAATACTCAACGAACGAAATGTATCTCTAAACATCTGCATCCGCATCCTCTCACAAATCTTGTATGTCTTCCCCAGCTTGTCGCACGGAGAGTATCTGTATGTGGCAATTGTTGTTTGTCCCTGATTTCTGAATCTGATCCGAAATACGTACTTAATGTTACACACACTGCTTAGTTTACACACACGAAATGTCGGGGGAAAGTAAATAAGACTTATTGTAGATAATTATGTTTAAAACAATTAACCCATACACGAAATCAAGTTGTTCAATTTGTATTTTTGCCAAAGAGATATTTGTTAAACAAAAAAGAACTTGACTCTATAGATACATATGTGTGTGCGTGTGTGCTTGTTTCACTATTGCTGTGTTTAATTGTTGTGTGATTTAATTGCAAGCCCCATGGGGAACTGTGTTTGATTTCGGAAATCCCCTCCCGTTCGATATTAACGTAGAGTAATTGCAGCGGCGACGACGACACACAAGACTTGAATACTGAAACCTAGGCTAATGTTAAATGTTAATTCGAATTATTAAACCTAAGGCAGCTGCAGCTAAGTAAACCAATCTAAACGGACGAGTGTGCGAGTGTGTGTATAAAGCGAATTATGAATGTTTTCCTGTGACACTTATTTAGTTATGTATTCTATGTAGTCCGTACGCGTATATATATCTATAACTATAACTGAGGCATTGTACAGTAGTCAAGAGGAAAAAACAACAATAATTAACATGGCGTAAGTTCTTTCGAAGATAAAACCAAAAAGTATATAGCATAGTTCATAAACTCAAAGCATAAGCCGCCACTCAGAAAAATGTATAAAACAAGGAACACTCTTTGACAAAAAAATAATACAAAACTAAAACAGAAAAAAAAAATTATTGAAAAAATATGAAAATTAATGCATATGAAACCTACTGCATTTTTAAAAAAGATCTGTTAACAAATGAATAATAAAACCATAAAAAAGGATGAATACCAAAGCCGAAAATGCATTTCCATTGCCTCTCGAACAAAGGGGCCAACCGATTACGGCACAAAAGACAATTTAATGGCAAAACTTTCGAATCAATTTTCAGCGGGAAAGGCAGCCGTGGCGGTGTCAGGACTCAAACAAAGGCTGGAATAAGGACGAACGCTATCCAGATCCTCGGAAGACACTTTTCCAGCGACTGCCAAACTTTTCCGAGGGGTGGCGGCAGGACCACTATCCGTCTTGCTCGGTGCGGTGCAAAAAATTGAATTCCTTGTAAAACTTACGAGCTGGCATTAATTTTAACAGCATTTCTCTCTCGGTGGCCCAGGACTGTGGGGGCGTTGGGTCGGTCTGGATGCCTCAAATTACGTATACGGCCCATTGAACGCTCCGCCGGGCACGGGGCACGGACATGTGTGCGTACTCCACGGCTGGGGCCATTATTCTCTCCTGACTGACTTTATGACGCTCATTCGATGGGCACAAATCGTAGCTCGTTTTTCATTTAAATGGAAGTTAATTAGTTCCGCCAAAATAAAAAAAAATACAAACAAACAAAAGAGAGCACAATACGGACATATATACTACATATTATATATGTATAGTAAAGTATAGCATGTGCGGGGCGTGGATCAACAGAGAGAGCGGCGCCAATAAAGGGCAAATAAAATTTCGCACAGAAAAGGGCGTGGCCAGAAGCATTCCTTGCTGCAATTGATTGATTTATTCCCATTCCCTGTTCCACCCCCTCGTTCTCATTCTCCAGCTCGTTCTTCTGCTCCTCTTTCTGCTCCTGCTGCTCCCTTCGACAACCACTTCGGCTTCATCAGTTGTTGCCGCAAATTGATTCAACAAACGGCAAACAAGTGAAGCCTGGCCATGATGGGCCTTCAATTAATAGCTGAATGGAATGGGCAAGTAAGTATGGTTACGGGCACGGGAACGGGTCCGGGCGAATTTCGCCGGACACGAAACTTTTCCGCTCCGCAACTCGGCAACTGTCAGCGTGCGGAATACTCAAGGATTCCCCTAACGAGTCGCAGCCAAAGGATACTTCGAAAATAATGCCGATAATTCAAATAAGGATTCTGAAAAAAAAAAAATACAGCCAAATCTAGGAAGGATATATACAGAGAGCCCTATACAAGTATATTTTTTTAAATATTAAAAAAAGTGGGAGAACGTAATGGAAGAAATATTTAATAGAAAAATGTTCTTCAACAAATAATAATACGATCTAAAACCCTTTATAAATAAGTGTTTTAGATTAAGATAATATGAATATTTTATTTAAAGTAATATTCATTATATTTTTATAGGCTCAGCCATATTTAATTATAATAATATTTAAAAATTAAACCCAAAGAAATCTAGCTTATTTTGTATGGATTATATAACAATATTGCAAAAATGCGCCGCAAATTAATAAATAAATGTTCTAGGACTATTTAAATATATCGGTATATATAACCTCTGTATTGTTAAGAGTTTAAGCTAAAGAATTGCTTTCAGCTTCAAGTTTTTTTTAAATACAAAGTAGGGTATTCCAGTTACAGGTTTGCAATCGAAACCTTCCCCTCCTGGCCTTTTCATTGTAATGCAGGTGACAACGCCGGCGTCTGGACAGTCGTCCCGCATCTCTTCCCCGGAATTGAATTTGACCCGAACCTGATTCCAAGCCCGGGCACTTTTTTGTGTGTCTACGGTTTTTGGACAGCGAGCGGAGCCGTCAAAAGGAACAAACCTCAGTGGCGACAGCGTGGAAATGCACGTCACAAGTACTCGCACAGTTCATCTGGCCGAGTAAATGGAAAAGTTTTGTTTGCCAAACTTTTCCGGTGGGGAAAGAAAGCGCGCTAAGGCGGCCTGAGTGCTGCAGGTCTCCGGACTTTTGGGCCAAAGTCACTAAGGAAACAATGACGACCGAAAAACTTTCCCGTTGGCATAATCATTGTCATGGCCATTGACGCAAGGATTTGCAAATTATCAGGGACGAAACTTGACCGAGCCCGTGTGCAACATGAGAGCTCCTTTCGCTTTGTTAGCGGCGACTGTAAAATTCAGCCATCAAATTTAAGCACACTCTAAAACACAAAAGTACTTGATGCCCAGTAATTATTCTTCTTAAAGTATGAATAAAAAAGTTTTCTTGTGTAATTGTTCGGGGTCTTAAAGGTTATCAAGCTTCTTTGAATTAATAGGGGAAATCTTGAAACATTTTTCAAGATTATTTAGTAACATTTTGTTACAAAATACATTTATTTTGACCCAATTGTTGTTTTCCTTTTGCGTCTATAATAATTGCCTACAAAATGTATTTGTTTTTCTCTCAGTGCCTATTTTGAGGGGGCCTAGTCCGAACCGCAATAATGGGCATACATAGCAATTATGCCTTTGGCAAAATTGCCGGCTGACAATCAAAGAAGCCGCACGCATAAACAAACCGGGGCTCAGAGCCACCGCAGTCACTCCTTTCCCTAACTCACTCCCACTCAGTGCCCCCCGAAAACCCTGAGCATCCAGCAATCCTCCCGGAAAAACCGCAGACCCCGCCGTAATGAATTGCGGCCAACCGACCCAAAACACAAACAGATACTGAGAAAGACCCGATTATAAGTTTGCGCACTTCTTCTTTTCCGGCTGCCTGCACAATTGGCTGGATCTAGCCGACATTGGATCCCTTTCTGGGGCAGGTCCTGCCATACACACAAACACGCATGCAACTCCGGAATGAACAACAACATCCTCTGCATCCTTGCATCCTTTGTGCTGCACCGACAGCGGGCTCGGGCAACCAGAATCATCCGATTTCTTTGCCGGTTCCCATTGTTTTGCGCAAATTCATTTCGAGGCTATGCAGTTTATCGGTGCCCTGCAGCCTCACACTTGGCTAATTTGTGTGGGAAGTAATCTTAACCGCCAGCCTTCTTAGCACTGGAAAAAAACAATGACCAGTATATACCTTTTACTTGCTCTTACGAATTGTAATTTTCAATAAAAGTTGGTTTGCGAGACAGAAAATATTAGTAAATATTTGTAACCATAATGTAAAATATGAATGAATTTATAAACTCACTACACTATTTATTTCCTATGCATATTACCTCTAAGTTCCCCTATACATATTTCCTACACTCACCTGTTAATTGGCATCAATTTGAACTCATTTCTCATACTTTCTCCTCGTGTACATGCTTATTTTGCAGGCAATCCACTCGAAAGACCTCGCAATGAAATGCGCAATAATTCAAATTACTCATACGCCAGGGTGGTGCGAGGGAAAGCTCTCGTCCTCAGCCCTGCATCAACTGCTTACCACCCATCAACCGGACTAAATAGAAAATATCTCAAGTTGTTCCGCCTGAACGCATCGCATCCAAGCCAATGACGCTGACTCTCAGTTGGCAAAGAATAAAGCCTAAGGCAAGAGGAACCACAGAAACGGAATGCGGCTGCAAAATATGATTTCATTTCATTCATTAAAAACCTGACAAGTTCAAGTTGAATGAATAGATATATATTTGGGCGCCCCATATGTGTATGATTTATTTTTAACACGCTTATTACAGCATCTCATAATGAACTGACGCGACGTTGGCCGTCGGCCGTTGGCGTCTTGGCAGGCAATCAAAAAACGAAAAGAATGAAATACAAATGCAAGTAGAACACGCCCGGCGACACACAATTATACGAAAATATCGAGAAACCTTTCACGATTCGCAACCGGAATGTTTTTATTTATTTTCCCCAGACTCTCGTTCTCGGCATTTCCTCAAAACGAACTGCCAAACAGCTGATTTAAATAGCCAAAGGCCTCAAAAAGAGAAACAATCAGAGCGAGGAAAAGAAAGGATGTCAGCCGTGAGTGTGTGTGTTGCGGCAAACAAGCAACAAGCGGCGAGGCGAAAAATGTAGGCGAACACGGCAAGCCGGCGAGAAAAGCGAGAAAGCGCCTCGGGCGAGATTCGCCGCACAGTGTCCTCGAATGGGGGGCAGTTAGTTAAAAGTGAATATTATTTCAAATATTTATTTTTTACTTCAGAGAAAGGGTTGTTCTTAAAACATTTCTAAGAAGCTGGGATTATTCATACTGATCGATTTCCACGTTTAATAGAGTTTTACCGCTGTATCCGGTTTGAATTTTTTTTTAATTTAAGAATGGGATGTATAATCAAAGACGAAATAAAAAACCTACAGACTACAGAGAAACAATACTTAAAACTCTACTAGAATTATGATTTCCTGTCGTTCTAGCATTTGAAATAATATCAGAAGTATTCTTAGAAACCAAAAAACTCCCTTTATACTAAGAAACCTAAAGTTATAAAACCGTGCACGGGTATAATAATAATTTCGGTCGGATTTCTTCATTTAGCATGATTCGTAGTTGGAACCATGATACAATTATACAAGGTAGTCCCGTCGGAAAAATTAGCAAAATGTATGTAAGTGAGACGGGTATAGCCTGAAAGATTGACTGAAATGACTCAATGAATAAGCTCGAGCTGTCAAAATAAGCCATAAAACCCAAACTATTTCGCCCCGATGGAACTACCTTGTATAATTCTATCATGGTTGGAACCAATAGAAAATTGTAGTCTGACATAAAATAAAATGTTACTATTTATTATTATCAATCACAAATTAAATTATAGGATTTTAGCCAGATTTCTTTCTATTGCGCTCATCATCACACGATCTTTTTGATCCTCTCAAATCTTCCCACTATTTGCCCCATTTCGTACCACTGTGCCGGCTGCTGCGAATTGCGTGCCGCAGCATTGGTGCTCGCTCTGTTCGCCGCCCCATCGTCGTCAGTCTAGAGAGTAATATCGACACGAAAAGTAAGTTCGCCGTGCTTCTGCTGGGCCCCGACAGCATC